CCCACCCCGGGCCCCAGGGCGCCCCCTCCTCTCGTGCTGGCACATGGACACCCACGGGCATGTCCAGTGAACACCATGAGCCGCGTCGATGAGGCCTGGGGCCCGGCCGGGGGGGCGTGTGCCCCAAAACCAGGCGCGGCGGCCAGGGCTGGGGGTGGGTGGCGAGCGCTGCGGGTCCAGGCTCCGGTGGGGAAGAAGGCGCGGGATCGAGGGGGTGATGGTGGCGCTGCGGGCATCTCCCCCAAGCACAGGCCTGGACTCCTGAGGACACAGGGCCGTGGGGGCCTCCCAGGCAGCCACGCCGCCCAGCTGACTCGGCGCCCGCCAGGCACAGCCAAGGGTGGGGACGTGCGGTCCAGGGCGTCACCCAGTCACCGGCCACACAAGGCACTGGGGCTCCACCAAGCGTGACCCCCAGGAGGTTGGGGGAGCCCCACAGTGTGCCCTCCGGGCCGGCCTGTCTGACCCCTCCCCTGGGCACGGGGCTTGATCCTGGGGGGCTCTGCTTCCCCTCCTGGAGGGGGGCCCGGCCCGCAGGCTCAGGCTGGCCGCCAGCAGTGGGATCTTAAATCCCCCTCCCAGGAGCGCCAGCAGCTCCCGGCCTGGTGCCCGCGCTGCCCCACCAAGTGTTTTCCCAGCTGCAGCCTCGCAGCCGGGGCGCTGGGCCGCGGTGTTCGGCCAGCGCTGGCCTCGGGCGCTCAGAGCCAAGGGAGCTGCACGGCGCTGGGCGGGGCGAGGCGGGATGGGGCAGCGGACCCTGCAGACCCCCAGGCCCCGCGCCCCGCCCCTCCCCGCGCCGAGCCCGGCTCCCCGGCTGGCAGGCGCTGGGCTCCTCCCCTGGGGCTGAGCAGCAGAGTGCTGGGTGTTTACCCGAGACAGCTATTTGGGGGAAGAGAGAGAAAAGCCTCATTTCCGCAGCTCCCTGCCAGCCTCCTCCGCGCCGCCCTCCCCAGGGCCCACTGCCGGGGCCTCCCCCGGGGCTCGGGGCTCGAGTTCGCGCGGTCCCCCCGGGATGGCGCGAGGGGCGCGGGGCCCGGCGTGGAGGACGCGGCTCCCCGGGAGCGCACGGAGGGCGCGTCCTCGGCCGGCTGCGCGTCCGCCCGAGCCCCCCAAGCCGCGGACCGCCCGCGGGGCGCCCCCGCCGCGCCGGCCCCTCCCGGGACGGCCCCGCCCCCCCAGCTCTGGGTCCGAGGCGCAAAGTTGCGCGGGGCTTCAGCACCGCGGACAGCGGCCCTACCTGTCCTCGGGCGCGGCCGGGTCGCCCAGCAGCAGGTCCCGGAACCGGTACCGCGGCGGCAGGGGCAGCGCCTCGGCGTCCGGCTCGCTCATCTCGGGGCCGGCGGTGTCCGGTGTCCGGGCGCGCGCCGTCCCCGCGGCCCGTCCCCGGCGCCCGGCCGCCCGCGGGCACCCGCCCGCGCCCTCCCCGCGCGCCCGCGCCCCGCCCGCGCCGCCCGCAGGGGCTGCGCCCCCGCGCGCTCCAGCTCCGGCCGCCTGCCCGCTGCCCGGGGGCGCGGGGGGCGGGGAGGGCGCGCGGGGGGCGGCGCGCGGGGAGGGGCGCGGGGAGGGCGCGGGGAGGGGCGGGCTCTCGCCACCCGGGACCGCGCGGGCCTCCGCGGACCCAGCTCCCCCGCCACGCAGCCCGGGGCGCCGCCCGCCCAGGGCCCCTGACTTTCTTGCACTTGGGGGGAGGGGCGGCCGGACAGAGCCGGGGTGGGGCCGGGCCAAGGGGCCAGGGGTAGGGGCCTGCGGCTCTTTGGGACCCAAGTGCTGACCCCCAGCTCCCCCCTTTCCTGACCAGATCCCCACGTCCAAGTGAGCTTTGGCTGTGGTTACCCACAAATAGCGAGAGGGGGCAGAGCCAGGCGAGCCCCCCAGCTCCCAGCTCCCGGCCTCCTGGGGCAGCGGCCCCCACAGTCCCCAGCACACTAGGGTCTCGCTGGCCTCCAAACCAGAGGGCCCCCCTCACCCCAGCCCTGGCTGGGCGGCAGCTGGCAGGGGCAGCCATACACATGAATCCACAGGGGCCCCGGGACAGATGGACACGTGGAGGCGCCACCACAGGTACGGGGGCATTGAGGTCAGACCGGGGCTCCTGGCCCCCAGCGTCACCCATGGGTCCCAGTGAGTCTGGCCCCAGGACACAGCTTGGTGGTCCTGGGCCTGCTCGGCCGCTCTGGGGCTCCCCGCTCAGGCAGGCGCAGCAGGAGGACACAGCTCACTCGGTCACTCACCTGGAGCCGAGGTCCTCGCGGACGGTGGCGGCGCTGGCGACCCCCCTCTCAGGCCGGGAAGGACAGGCACGTTCCCAGAAACCCGCGGAGGAACCGGCCCAGGCCCCCCGCCCCCCAGATGGGCAGCAGGCCGGCGCGGGCGCCCCCATGCCCGCCCCCCAGGGGCCGCTCGCGACCGGCCGGTGGAGGCTGCAGGTGGCAGGCGCAGCCCGCGCCCGCGCCCGGTCAGAGGTTCAGCCTCGGGCTTGGCAGGGTTTGAGAAACAACATTTTCCTAAGCGCAGCAGAGAAGCCGCGTGTTTTCCTAGTCACAGCTGCCGCCGGGCGCAGGCAGGGGCCCGCGTCTTCCTGGGCTGTCCCTTCTCGCCGAGAGTCCCCTCCAAGGGCAGAGCCCCAGGCGGCCACGGCCCTGCCCGGCTCCCTGCTTGGGGCAGCGGGGGGTTTTCTCTCTGCTGTGCAGTCGGGGGTGGGGCTGGGGCCCGTTTGCCTCGGGGACCCGGGGAAGGAGGGGACAGGGCCGGAGGCCGGGCCGCGGCCACTGTGCGGCCAGGGAGGGTGACGGGGTCGGCCGCGCCTCCTCCTCCCGGGGACCAGCCCCTCCACCCGGAATAGGCACCCCCCCGGGACCCCCGGCGTCCCGCCTCGTCCAGGCCGGGCTGCAGCCACAGGCCCTGACTGTGCTGGCGGCGCCGGGCCCAGGGCTCCGGGAAGGGGCCACCGTCACGGGCCCGCGGCGCTGAGACCCGTCCCGAGCCTGAAGGCCCGAATCACTGGGAGCGAGGAGCACGCGGGAGTGGGGGGTCCAGTCCCCCAGAAGTCAAGGCGGCCCAGGCAGGCGAGGGCACACCCCGGCCCTGGTGCCTGGACACAAGGGCCCCCGCCGTGCGCACCTCCCAGAGCCCCTCCGCAGCCCCTCCGCGAGGCCCGAGGCCCCCGGCCCCCGCCGTCCTGCTGCCCGCGTGCCAGCTGCCCCAGAGAAGCGCCATCTCACGGGAACTGCTGGCCCGGGGAGCAGAGGCGTGTGCAGAAGCTGCGCTGGCTTCTCGGTCCCGGGCGGGCTGGAGCAGACACGGGGAGACCGGGGGAGGGGTCGGGGCGGCTCTCATCTTGGGTTTGGTTTTGCTCTTTGCCCCCTGGGGCGGCTCTCGGGCCTGGCTCTGGGCGATCCCGTTGGGGTGGACGCTTACCCGCGAGGGGACGAGCGACGTGGGGGGCTTGTTTAGAAACAACTGTCTTCCTCATCTCTGAAGCGCACACGACTGCCTTACGGTTCCTTGCTGGCCCCCCGGGGGCGCAGGGGTGAAGCACAGCGCTGTGAAGCCGCTGCGGCCTGAGTGCAATCCCCGGCCAGGGAGTGACCCGCGGGGCGCAGCAGGCCTCTCCGCTGCTCCCCTCGGCAGTGTGTTTCAGTGGATCCACCTGTTCTGCTCCCCGCTCTGTCTCTGGGGAGACCTCTCACCCCCACCTCTGGCCTGCACCCCAGCTCCTTTATGCATAAATAAATCCTTTTAAAAAGTTCCTTTCTAGTGCTCGCTTCGGCAGCACATATACTAAAAAAAAGTTCCTTTCTAATAAAATTCTGCATGTTTTATCTTGACGAGGTGGACAGCAGATTTGGGGGCCCTAGGGTGCCCCTCTGTAACAGATGGTGCTCCCATGTGGGTGTGCACACACGCAGGAGCACACGCGAGCCCTCGTGGACAGACACGCGCACCGCCTGGGGTGTGGGCAGCCGAGCGCGCGGTGGTGGGAGCGGGGCGCATGCGGTGGGGCCAGGGCCAGGGCGGGCGGGCGGCCGGGCAGGGGTGTGTGCCTTCTGGGGGGGCTTCCAGTCAGGCCCGGGTGGTGCGCCCCATCTCCACCACGCGGCCGCCGAGCTGAATGCAAACTGCAATCACAAGGCCTCCCTGGCCTGGGCCAGCCCCTCTGAGGTGCCCAGTGCCCAGTGCCAGGGGCATGTCCCGCTGGGTCGCAGGGCCCAGCCCTGACCCGCGTGCCCAGGACGCTTGTCCGGCCCCGCCCCACCGGCACGGCTGTCCTGGCAGACGCTGTCCAGCTGCGGACCCAGCTGGCCGCAGAGAGGGTGGGGCCTGTGGCTGCGCTGGCCCGGGGAGGAGGGGTCGGCTGAAAGCGGAGACCAGGCGGCTTCCCACACGTGAGGGCCACGGTTTCTGGAGCCCCCTCCCTTGGACGGGCCCCACTTTACCAGGCCTCTGGCTTAGCCAAGGCCTCGGTGGCAGGCACCGCCCCACCTCCCCGAGGCCCCAGGGTCCCGCGGGGCTGCCCGCTCTCCAGGGCCGGCCCCACTCTGGCCAGGCGTCTCCCTGGGCGGCGAGGAGCAGAGGAGGCACCGGCTGGGCCACGGGTGGGGCGTCTGCGGCCGACTGGGAGGCCCCCAGCCCTCGCCACTGACTCCGACCAATCCGGGAGCCGCGACTACAAATAGGGCGGCCGGCACCAGCCCTCAGGAGCAGATGCGCCAAGCCCCACTGTGCTGCCCACTTCCTGCCTGGCCCCAGGGGCCCGCGATGAGCAGCCAGTCAGGGCGGAATGGCCAGGAGGGACGGGGCACACGCGCCTGCCAGGCTCACCCCACCCCACTGGGTCCGCACCTCCCTGGACCCCCAGGGGTGAGTACCCTTCCCGGGCAGCAGAGACCAGTGCTTGCCAATGCCCGGCAAGATCTGGCACATGTCTCTGCTAACTGGGGCCTCCCGGGTCTGGCCGACCAAGCAAAGTGACTGCCCTGGGGTCCCCGAGATGGCCCCTGATGGCTGCACCACTGCACGGGGGTCACCTCGTCAGGTGGACGCCCCTGGAGCCGCCCGCTGCCCTCCTGGGCGCCCTCGCGGTGGCCCTGCCAGTGAGCGGCCTCTCCTGGCCCCCCCCCACAGAGCTATCCGCGTCCTGCCTCCAAACCCATCACCCTCGCCAGCGTCCTGGCCCTGCCCATGTCCCGGGGAAGAGGGGGCTCCCCAGCGGCCTGTCCACCTCACAGTCTGAACAGCCCCTGGCTCTCTTGGGCAGAGAGGCCGCCTCCTGGGCGCGCTCCGAAGGTGCATCACAGCCCCCTCCCGGGACGGGATAAGAAACCCCAGAGAAGAGTCTGGGGTCACAGCTCCACCCCCAGGAGCAGTGGCAGCAGCGCAGCAGCAGGGCCTCCTTGTCCCAAGTGGGGGTGGGGGTGGGGGGCAGACCGGCACTCTCAGGGCTGGGCCCTGGAGCTGCCCCTGCCCCAGGCTCACCTTGTCCAGATCTGCTGCGTGGTGGCACAGGGCGCCTGCCCCTCCCATGGCTGCCGGGCCGGGCTGCACAGGGCCCTGGCGAGCCGTCCCCTGGGGCCTGGTCACTTCCTGCTGCCCTGCAGGTCTCGCTCCCTAATATGGGCCTGGAGGGCTGGCCAGAGCTTCAGGCCAGGCATGTACCCTGGCTGGATGCCAGTCCAGCTCTGTGCCCAGCCACCAGCCCAAGGGTCCCCCGCGGGGGGCAGGGCTGCGGGGCAGGGCAGCGGGGCAGGGGCAAGGCGGGGCTCTCAGTGGGCAGCACCGGCAGGAGGCCGGCTCAGGGTCTGGGGCAGCCGCGCCCACAGCAGCGGCCCTGTCTGGCGGAGGCTCCCCACCCTTCCCTGCGGCCGCCAGGGTGGCTGGACCCCACACACAGCCTCGCTGTGGGAGTGGGGGTTCCCACTCCAGCCTGAAATGGGGGTTCCCGGGGGCCAGCACCCCCGTACTGAGACGAATATGGGCCCGCACTTTCCAGGACCGAGTCACTTAGGGTCCAGGGAAGGGAGAGTGGAGAGCCGGGACCCTGGGAGGCAGGAGCAGGCCCCGCCTACCGGCGCCCCAGGCCCTTCCCAGCAGACGTCACCTCCAGGCTCAGCCTCACTGCCCGCCCCGGGCAGGCCTACCTGGCCACCTGACTGGCTGTGCCCGCCCAGCCTCGTCTTTCCTGGGGGTCTTTACCCAGACCGACCTGCCCCGGGGGGAAGGTCATGCGGCCTGACCCGCCCCGGTCCTCACGCTACATGACAGCGACTTGGCGGGGTGAGAGGTCAGGCAGGACAGTGGGGGGCGCTGCCTGGGGCAAGGCCCGGGGCAGGTGGAGGCGTGTGGCGTGTCTGGCCCAGGCGGGGGTCTGGGGACCCAGCCCACCTGGCCTGGGAGAGCCCCGTCTTGGACGCGCAGGTACCGGTGGAGGAAGGTGGGGCCGCTGGCCCCACACGATGGGAAAGGGTGTCCTCTGCCCTCTGCCCGGCGTTCAGTGCCAGCTGACCCTTGAGGGCAGCCCTAGGGAGGTGCCGCTGCGCCCACAGCGCAGAGCCGGTGCCCACTGCTTCCAGGGGCGACCTTGCTCCCCCACCCGGACTGGCGGGACGCGTCCCCTCTGGACCCAGGCGCCCCTCAGCGCAGGCCTGGGACCACCCACTCCGCCCCTCGCTGAACACACCCCGAAAGTGAGCCCCCCTCCCTGCAGTCGGCAGGAGCACCTCGCCCGCACCCCAGGCCCCCGCCTTCCAGGTAACCCGCCACCCCTTCTCTGGCCTCAGCATGGCGACCACAGGACCCAGGGGACGGCGGGCGCGGGTGGGGGCGCACACCCGGCTGGGAGGCGACTCCTGCCCAGGGGAGGGTCAGAGGGGGCGCGGGGCCTGGGGGCGCGGCGCGGGGCGGGCGGGCCGGGCCGGAGGGCAGGATCCCCAGGGGGAGGGGTTCCTGGACCGAGCCCCTGGCCCGGGCGAGCTGGGGGCGCCGGCCACGAGGCTGGAAGGAAAGTCCCAGCTGCGCCCCCGCCCCGCGCCCGCCCCGGGGCCCCGCCCGCTCCGCAGCCGCGTCCCGGGGGCCCAGGGGCGAGGGGCCGGGCACCCGGCCTGCCTGTCCGCCGCCGGGGGTGTCAGCGGCCGGGGGGGCCCGCGGGGCCCCGTGACCCCCGAGGTGACCCCGCCACGGAGGGGCCCAACCCGGCGCCAGCTGCTCTGGGCTCGGCCCCTCTCCCCGCAGGGGGCCGGCCCCCCACGACCAGGGCCCGCGGGCGCCCCACGTCTGCAGGGCTGGCCGGCCGGCAGCCCCCACCCCTGCCGGCCCCGCGGCCTCAGGCTCGGCCCCGGCCGCTCGGTGACCTCTGTCCCCTCATGGCCGCTTAGCCCAGGCTCGCCCCGGCCCGTGCTGCAGGCCAGGGGTGGGGCCCCGCCCCGGCGCCGGGTGGGGGAGCGCGAGGCCGGGCGTGCGGGGGCGGGGCTGCGGGGCGTGCGGGGCGGGGCGTCCAGGAGCTGGAGGGAGGCACGCGGCGCGGGCACGTGCTCGGGGGCGGGGCGTCCAGGAGTGGGAGGGAAGCACGAGGCACCGGCACGTGTGCGGGGGCGGGGCCGGCGAGCGCTGGGGGCGGGGCACAGGAGCTGGAGGGAAGTGGGAGGCGCGGGCGTGCAGGACGCGGGGCCGGCGTGTGCTGGGGGCGGGGCTGAGGGGCGGGGCGTCCAGGAGCGGGAGGGAAGCACAAGGCGCGGGCACGTGCGTGGGGCGGCGTGCGCTGGGGGCGGGGCGTCCAGGTGCCGGAGGGAGGCACGAGGCGCGGGCACGTGCTGGGGGCGGGGCGTCCAGGAGGGGGAGGGAAGCACGAGGCACGGGCACGTGTGCGGGGGCGGGGTGTCCAGGAGCGGAGGCGGCGGCTGCCTCCTGCGTGCTCATGGCTTCCCGGGGCCCCCGGCCCGGGGCTGTGGCTGGCCGAGGCCCCCCGCCGCGGGGCGCAGGTGAGGGCGGGGCGCAGGTGGGCGCGGGCGCAGGTGGGCGCGGGGCGCAGGTGAGGGCGGGGCGCAGGTGGGCGCGGGGCGCAGGTGGGCGCGGGGCGCAGGTGGGCGCGGGCGGGGGTTGCGGGGCGCCCGGGGCCGGCGGCTCGCGCTCTGCTGGGCCCGGAACGCGCCTCGCCTCTCCCGCAGCGGCCGTTCCGCGCCCGGCGCGCCGCCCCGCGAGGCCCCGGGCCGGGCCGGGGCGGGGCGCAGCCCCCGGGGGGCGCCGAGGGTCCGGGCGGCCGGCCGCGGCGCAGCGTGCTGGGCGAGCGGGAGCGCAGGTGAGGCCGGGGCGCGGCGGGCGCGGCCGTTGGGGGGGGCTCGCCGCGGGGCGGGGGGCGGGGGGGGCCCGGGGCGGGGGCGGCGGGGGGCGCGGGGCCTCGGCGCCGGCTCAGGCCCTGCCCGGCAGGCGGCGGATCGCGGCGAGCTGCGAGCGCCTGCGGGGCCTGCTGCCCGGCTTCGCGGGCCGGCGCGAGGACATGGCGGCGGTGCTGGAGATGGCCGTGCGCTTCCTGCAGCTGGCGGGCGCCCGCGCGGAGCCGGAGCCGCAGCCCGTGAGCGGGGCCCCTGGGTGGGCGCCCCCCGCCCGGTCCCCTCCCCGCCCCCCGCCCCGCCCCCCACCCCGGCCCCCCACGGCCCGCCCGGTCCCCGCGGCCACGGCGCCTGTCGGTGTCCGCAGGCCCTGCCGCCCCCCGAGCCGCGGCGCCCGTGGACCCAGGACGCCGAGCAGAGCCCCGCCGGGGCCCGGGGCCGCGGGCCGGCGACCGCGTCAGTGAGGCCGGGTCCCCGGGGCGGGGCGGCCGGGGCGGGGCGGCGGGGGCCGGCGGGGGGCGGCCTCTCCCAGCGCGGCCCGCGGGCGCGGACAGCGGGGGCACCCGCGGGCGGGGCCTGCTGAGCCGGGCGGGCGCGGCTGCTCCCCGGCCCCCACGTGCCTCCTGTCCGGCGGGTTCAGGCCGCGGGGCGCCCTCAGCTGCGTGGCCGCCAGCGTGGACCAGGGCAGGGCCCTGCCGGGCACGGATGAGGAGCCGGACGGGCCGGCGGCCGCCCTGGGTGAGTGTTGGGGCCCGTGGGGTGTCCGGGCGAGGCAGGCAGGGCCCGATGTGGCCGGGCCCTCCCTGCGCAGCTTCTCTTCTCTCTGCCGTGTCAGCGCGGGAGCGGGGTGCGTCCTCCGTGGGCCCGCGCGCAGCTGGCACCAGGACGCCAGGATCCTCTGCTGCTCGCACCCGTGCTTGCATGAGTTGGGGTGCTTGCGGGGGTCATGGGGGCTGGCCGACCCCTCGGGAGGCGCTGGACACGCAGGCGGAGCCCAGCCTGGGGCAGCGGGAAGGCCCACCCTCCTGGCTTCTCCCACAGGGGCTCCCAGCCCTGTGCCCTGGCCCCCCGTCTGGAGTCCCCCGGGGCTGCCGAGGCCCCCCCCACCTCGGCCCCCCTTGGGGAGCGAAGCTGCTGGGAGCTGCCAGGCCCGGTTGCTGCCAGATGCCAGGTGGGTGAGCCCCGCTGGGCCGCGTCCACCTTCCGTGGGGTGCCCGGCAGTCAGGCCGGCCGCAGCCAGACCGCACGCGTTTTGCAGACGCCGTCCCCAGCTGCAGCAAGTGGCCTGCGTCTCGGCTGCTCCGGCTGGCAGTGGGGCGCGTGGGGGCGGAGAGGGACGGCCAGGGCCGGGTCTCGACCGTGCTGGCTGCCCAGGGCTCCCGGGAGAGCCTCTCTGGCACGCCATCCCTTCCGTGCCCGCCCAGCCGGGGTCTCCGCTCCAGGTGCGCGTTGGGCGGTGGCGTGGACGACAAGATGTCCCTCCCGCTGGCGGCTAGCCCCGACTGTGGCCGGGTGAGTGGGGCGTGTGGCAGGGCGCCAGGTGGGCGGGGACGGGCGGGGTGGGCATGGGGCCTCCGGGCGGGCTCCTGACGCTCTGCTTCCAGGGGCACCCCCGGCCAGGAGCAGTCTGCTGGACAGGGTGGAGTTCGGCTTCCCGGGGGACCCTGCGCCCCTGGAGCCATCGGGCTCGGATGTGGGCTGCCCGGGCCTGGCCCTGGGGGACGAGGTGGACGGCATCTTCCCCAACTTCCTGACGTACTAGGCGGGGGCGGCGCCCACCGGTCACCTTGGGTCGGGGCTGCAGCTGTGCCTGGGGCGGCTATTAAAGAGCAGGTGGCTTTATGCGCCGTGGCCGGCTGAGCCGTGTGCGCGTGCGTCTCTCGAAACCTCGTCCGGGCGGGTCCGGGCCCAGGGCGTCCAAGCTGCCCTCTACCCTCTGGTGCCATGAGGTCTCACGCCCCAGGGCCAGCGGGGGAGGCCTGTGTTGCGCCTGTCCAGGGTGGCGGCCTCCACACTCCCACAGGGCCCCGGGCGGCCGAGGCAGGCAGGCTGCAGTTGGGACACGGCTCTGGGCTCCGGGCCCCCGGCCCTGCAGGGGCCAGAGGGAGTCTTTGCTCTCAGGGGAGCGCTGTCGGGGCTGAGCCCCACCCACTGGGCATGCCTCAGCCGGCAGCCCCGGGGCTCTGTGTTCTCTGGCTGGGTCACTGCGGGGCGCAGCCCTGGGGTGGGCTGGAGGTGGGGCAGGTGCACCCTGGGCTGGTACCCCTGCCAGGGTCCTGCCGGCCGCCTGCAGTTGCCGAGGGGGGTGTCAGGTGTAGCACCCCCACAGCCCCTTCCCCGGGAGCCTGAGTGCCTCTTTCCAGAAACACCTGCACCTCAAGTGTAAGGGGGAGGCTGTCCTGGCCCTGGATCCCCCGCCAGACATCTCTGGGGACAGGGCGCCTGTGTTGCTGCCTCAGTCTGCTGAGCTCAGCGCCGGGCGGGTGTTTACGGGGCTGCGGTGTCGTCTCCGGTGAGGGCTGCTTTGCAGCTTTGGGGGCTGCAGCGGGAGGGCCGGGTTGCTCCCCTCAAGGGCCTGGGCACTGGGCCTTTGCGCAGCCGGGTTGGTGCCAGGACAGTGGGAGGGGCGCGTCCCCACGGGGAGGAAGCTCATCCCCTCGGCGGGCTGGGCCCTCCTGGCGTGTCTCCCAAAGGCTCCACCGGTGCGTTACCAGTCGGCACCCGGCGGGCTGGGGGGAGCCTGTCTGGAGAGTACTGTCTGGGGGGCCTGGGAGTGGGGCGGCTGTGGCTCTACCTGCCCCAGGGTGCCCCTCCCCAACCCTGGGCCTGAGCACCGAGACTGGGCTCTGGGTCAGCCCCCGGGAGGGCTGAGGGGGTTTGGGGATCGAGGTGCAGCCCCCGGGGGGTGTCTGACAGGTGCATGTCACCCCCAGCCATCCGGCGCCCAGCTCTGCTGACCCCACGTCTGGGAAACACCCCGTGCCTCTTCCATGTGGGCTTTGGACGAAGCTGACCTCGCCCCCGAGGAGAGGTGGCTCAGGTCTGCCACCTCAGAGACCGGGCAAGCGTCATCTCCCTGGCCGGCGAGGCAGCAGGGACCCTCCTGGGTCTTTGGGAGGAGCCTGAAACCCGCACCCCCCCCCCACCCGCACTCGCGGAGGCAGCCGGGCTCGGGCTGGCAGCCAGCGCCGCGCCCCCCGGAGAGGAGAGCGGCGAGGCTGCGGCGTGTGCCCCTGGATGCAGCCGCGCCTGCAGGCCGCGCCCTGCTCCTTTCGCAGGCGGGGGCGGGCCTCCCTGTGCGCTCGCGGCGTGTGCGTGTCCTCCCCGGCCCGCAGAGCCCCGGCGGAGCTGCGTGCGCGCGTCTGCAAGGGCGGAGGTCGGGCCCCGCGCTTCGTGACAGATGCAGCCGCGTCACCGAGCTGTGTGGGGCCAGCAGGCGCCTCCTGTGGGCACGCTGGTGGCCAGGGTGTGCCGGGCTTTCTCTGGCCGCGCCCACGGCTGAGCGGAAGGACCCGACGAGCACGCGCTGGCCTTCTGCAGGGGGTGTCTTTATTGCAGGGGGACGTCCGAGGGGCGGGTGGGGCCCGGCGTCCGGGGCTGCCCCTCCCAGGCGTGGGGCAGAGCTCGGGTGGGGCGGAGGCCCGTGGCGGGGCAGGCAGTGAGCGGGGTGGGCTTCCTGGAGGGTTTGGGGGAGGTGAGCGGGGAGCCGGGCAGAGGGCCTCGGCTGGTCCCCACACCACGCGCGGAGGCCCCTCCTCTGGGCTCGCTGTCCTGGGGGGCGGAGACGGGCGGGGAGGCGGGCGGCGTCCCGGGCCCCCGCCGAGTAGCGCCTCACGCGTCTGTGGGCGGAGGTGCCCTCTGGGGCCGCGGCTGCCTAGTCCCTGAACTGCTGGCACCGATCTGAAGGGCAGAGGGTCCCCGTGAGCCCCGCCCAGCACCCTCCCATGCCCCACCGTGGAGGCCGCTGGCCCGGGACTGCGGAGGGACTGGGGGTGCTGGGGAGGGCTTGGGGGTGCTGGGAGGGATTTGGGGGCAACTGGAGGCCCGGGAGGGCTGAGGTGTCCAGGAGGGCATGGGGGAGGGTTTGGGGGCCCAGGAAAGGCTGGGGGGCTTAGGGAGGGCTGGGGAGACCTGGCGGCGGGCCCTGGAGGGACTCACCGGTGGTGTCCACGACGGCTATCTGCTCCCCCCGGAGGCCGAGAGCCTCACACTTGGCCTTGAACTCGTCCAGGACGGCCTGCTCCGCCTTGGGCGCCCGGGCTGCACAGGAACAGGGGGTCATGTGCCTGCGGGGGGCGGGAGGCTCGCGGGTGGTGGGGTCGGGTCAGGCTGCTGTGCTCCCTGGGGCTGAAGCGAATCTGGCCAAGAGACTTGGGACCGGGGCGGGCGTGGGGGGGCAGCGCCTTCCCCTGGCAGCCGGCGGAGCCTGCGCTGGCCGAGCCGAGTGCGGGGCAGGCGGCGCGGGGTGGGGTCCCCTGGGGCAGGGCGGGGCGGGGCGGGGCTCGTACTCAACAGCGTGACCACCATGTTGGTCTCCTGGTCTCTGTTGAGGGTGTAGACGGTCAGGTGCTCCTGCGACGCCGCCGCTTCCAGGAAGAGGTGGTTCTGTCCCCAGACTGCGGGGGAGCGCGGGGTGAGGGGGCAGCTGGGCGCGGGGTGGTGCACCTTGTCCTGCCGGCCTCTTGGGATTGCGCCGGGGGTGGTGTCTGCCCCGCAAAAATGGCTGCCAGCCCCAGGCAGACCATTGCCCTGGGACAGAGCTGCGGGCCCGGGGTCCCGATCCCCAGTGACCCCGGGGGACCCCACACTTACAGTCCAGGGAGAACTGGTTGGGGGCGCCAGCACCATAAGCGATGAGGTCGACCTTCTGGCACCCGTTTTCCTGCCTGCGGACCAGACCGAGGGGGCGGGTGAGCGCCCACTGCGCACTCCCGGGCTAAATTGGGGTGCTCTGCACCCTAAAGTCTCCCCTTTGGTGCTGGGTTCTCGGCATCTGATTAGCTTGAGCCCCTGCAAGGTGACCTCGCTCTCCAGCTGTGCCCACCCCACGTCCAGGTCCCAGCCCGCCTGGGGCCCTGGCCAGCTGCCGCTGAAGGAGGCACCTGCCCCCGCACGCCCACCCGCCCGCCCCACCGCGCCCCACCCACGGTATGAGGATCTCCCCGTGCAGGTCGGCGCCCTCCATGTCCAGGGAGTTGATGAAAACCCGGAAGTGCCCGCCTGGCCGGATCAGGTCGGGGTTGCTGGAGGCGATGGCGGCTGTGTACCAGGCCCCGGAAACCTGGGCGAGGAGAGGCCGAGTGAGGGGCTGGGCCGCCCGCTCACACTGCCCCCCAGCACCCCGAGGGGGGGCAGATCCGCGGCCCCCTCCGTGCAGCACCTGCCCCTCTGCACGACGCACAGGACGGGGCCGGGGAGCAAGGCGTCCAGGTCTCCAGTCCCCCCCGACCCTGCCCAGCGCCTGCCTCTCCCACTGGGGACCCCACCTTTCCTCAGGATAGGCTCAGGGTCCTGCCCCCCAGACCACGGCTCCAACCCCTGAGGCTGCCCCTGCACGCCCCGGGGACTGGCCATGGTCACCGCGCGGGTCTCCCGTGGACCCCAGGGGCCCGCCCGTGAGGACTGTGGCCCGGCTGTGCTGCAGGGGCCTTGCCCTGCTCCCCTCTGGCCGGCCCAGGTCCGCCGGGGGACCCGAGTCTTGGTCCCGGGAGGAGCGGGGGCCAGGAGGCGTAGCCCCAGCCCTGACCTGGGCCCCGGCCGCTGGGGCCGCGCTCACTCGGGTGACCCAGCCAGTCCCCAGCCCCGGCGGTCACCTCCGACTCCTGGGAGGTGGACTCTGGCGACTCGAGGCTCTCGTCTTCAGCCCGGAGGCTGCCGAGCAGCGCCAGGCCCACGGTCAGCAGAAGCAGCTGCATCTCCACGCGCCGCGGGTGGGGTGGCGGTGAGGGACTCCCAGGATCTGGGGTGCGGGGGCGGCGGCCGCCTATGTAGCCGGGCGGCGGGTCACGTGGAGGCGCGCGCCTGCTGCGGAAGGTCGGCGGGGACGCCTAATCCCCGGAGCGCGGCCAGCGCTTGTCTGTTCTCTGTGCTCCGGGCGTGAAAGGCCGCGTCCACCTCTGGCTTCCAGAATCAACAGCCTCTGGTGGGCGAGCCAGCTCCCTGCCTGGTGCCCAGGGGTGACCTTGGCGCGGCCTTGGTGCTGAGCAGGACCAGCCCCTGGGGGTGCCGGGCAGCGGGCAGGAGCCTGGCCTGCAGTCACACCGTGGAGCCCCCGGTCCCCCCTGGGCAGCTGGCCCCGGCCAGTGCGGGGGCTGTGACGGCAGCCCTGGTCCAGCCCTGCCCCTTAAACCTGGGGATTGGGTCAGACGCTGCGGGGACGAGGGATGCGGCTGGGTGCTTGGACCCGCAGGGCGTGGGCCGATGCCCCCTGTCCCTGCCGCGGGGGCCGTGACCCCCCGTCTGGCGCTTCGGGTCTCCTGAGCGGGTGGAGCCCCGGCCCGGACAAGGTCACCAGCCAGTGGAGGGGCAGGACCCGGCTGACCGCTGACCCTGCCTGTGCCCTCGCCGCAGCTGAATAAAGGGCTCCGGAGCTGGCGAGGGGTGCTGCCAGGGTGCCGGGGCAGGGAGGGAGCCCCCGTTTGGGCTACTCTGAGAGGTGGTTCCACCAGGAGGAGCGCGAGCCCAGCGGCGGCAGCATGGCGGCCGGGGAGCCGCAGAGGGCCGGGCTGCGCTGGGGTGTGGGGCGGCCGGGGCTGGGCCGGGCGGGCGCCGGGGAGGCCCCCGCAATGGCGGGCGGCCGGGCCCTGGCTCCTGGCGTGGAGGGCGGCCGGCGGGCTTTCTCGCGCGGGCACCTGGGCCCCGCGCCCCGGCCGCCCCCGCGCGGCTTGTGGGCTCACTCTGCTCGCGGCTGGGTGCGGCTCCCTTGGCTTTCACGCCAAATTTGGCGGCTTTGTCGATTATTTAATCCCCCAAGTCCTCCCTTGGACGCCTGATTCGGCGGCCTCCGCGTCCGCCTCGGTGGACGCCGGCTGAAGCGCCTCCCACCGGGCTCCGGAGGCCGGGGGCTCGCCGGGCCCTGCGCTGTCCTGCTGGCGCATCCCGTCCCTTCCCATGGCGGGAGCCGGGTGGGCTGCTCCTCCCAGCTGTCCCGGAGCCCTTAGGGCCGCCTGCCACCTGCCGCGGGGCTGGGGGCGCCTTGGGTCTCGCTGGGCCGGGGTAGCTCCCCCGGGGAGGCAGGCCCCCCTGGGCCTGAGCGCAAGAATGAGGGTGGTGCTGGGGGAGGATGAGGCGGACTCGGGAGGCCTCCCCGGAGCCCCTGGGGCTGCGGCCCGCGTGCAGGGAGCCCGGGCCAGCCAGGTCGTCCTAGACGCTCCAGCGCAGGGCTCCGAGGACAGCAGAGGCAGGTGCGGGCGAGCAAATGGCCCTGGGTGGGGCGCAGGGGGACAGAGGGACCCGCCAGACCGTGTGAGGCTGGAAGGTCTCGGGCTGAGTGTGGAGAGCGTGACGTCACCGCCGCCCCTGGGTGCTGCGTGATCGGCGCCGAGTCTCGGGAGGTGTGTCGAGCCCTTTGCCCTCCCTGAGGCTCCAAGAACCCACCCGCTGACCTCGGCCCAGCGGGCCCCAGGTGAGGCCACGCATCAGAGCCTGCGACCGAGCCGGGGCCCCGCGGCCTTCCCGCGTGGTGGGGAGACGCTCGGGGAACCCAGCCACCCCGGGGCTCGGGGGTCCGCTGCTGGGCTGACACCCGCATCCCCTGCTCCTGGCAGTCTGGGCCCCGAGTTCAGCCTGCATCTGAGAAGGCCCCGGGTTCCCTGGACGTCCAGGCACTCCAGGGGCCGCAGCACCCCCACCCGCCCCAGAGCCGCTCCAGACGGCACCGACCCGTGGCGGGCGCCTGGGAGAGGCCGCAGGAGTGTTGACTTTGAAAATGTCACCGGGGCCCAGGAAGCCCAGCTGCCGGGCAGGCGCTGTGGCTGGGCGGGGCAGCCCTCCGGCAAGTGGGGCGGCGGCCAGGCCCGCTCAGTGGGGGAGGGCTGTTCCCCGGGCTGGGGTGAGACAGGCTGCGTGTGGCTGGACCCCGGTTCTGGGCCCACGATGGGGGTGCCGGCAGCTCAACCCTTCTGGGGCCTTCCAGGTGGGGCTGCCAGAGAGGGGCTGGGCACCCACGGGAGTTGAGCTGCAGTCCCCTCCAGGCGGGCCCCTGCTCCTCTCTGCTTATGTGGCCGCCCCCTCCTCCCTGGCACCCCACGTGCTGTCAGCTGCCCCCGACCTGAGGGAGGGCCCCGTGTCCTTCCGCCAGGGCCTCTCCGCATGGCCTCATGGTGGCTGCCCCCGCTGCCCTCCAGGGCGGCTCAGCTGGAGCTCAAAGCTCCCCCCCCACGCTGTGCCCCAGGTTGGGGGGCTCTGCACGCACGCTTGCACACGCACATGCACACAGGCGCTTGCACGCACACCCCGGTGCATGCACACTCACACGCAGGTGCTTGCACGCGCCCTGAGTCCCAGCAGCTGGACCCCAGCGGCAGCTACCCTGGGCATTACTGGCCCGGCGCTTGGCCTGGTGTCCGACGGCCGGTCGGGGACGCTGTGCCCTCCCCGGGCAGAGGGCAATGTCGGGCTGCTATGGAGACGCCAGCCCAGGTGGCCTTGGGGAGGGCAGGTCAGCAGCGCACGACCTCCCAGGCCACTCCCTGGAGACTGGGAACCCACGACCTGTGGGCTGGAGGGGGTCATGGGGGGCACTTGGCTTCCTGCCTGGGAGGAGAGGTCCCCGCTGTGCTGTGAGGGTCCCCAGGCTCAGTCCATCCCACAGGAGCAGGAGCCCCAGGTCCCGCGGACACGGGGTGGGGCTGCGGTCCGGATCTGGGGTCTGGCCAGAGTCCAGGTGGGAGGCGGCTCCTTGCATCTCGTCCCGGTCTTGGCCTCGGGGGACGGCAGGAGGGTCCCTGCGGTTTCTCCGGGACGCCAGGGCCATAGTGGGGACCTGCAGCTTCCTGTCCTTCCCTGGGCTGGGGCGGGCGTGGGGGCGCGGGAGCCCATCCGGCCCTGGGAGCAGATGAAGGCAAGTGGCCGCTGGCCAAAGGCCCACTCCCTCCCTTGCAGGCACGGAGCCCGCAGGGTGTGCGGGGAGATCCAGGGCCGCCCTCGGCGCAGGGAACAGCAGAGAGAGGGCACCGGACTCTCTGCTGCCGCCCAGGCTGGGCAGGCGCTGCTGCCCGCGAGAGAGGAGCAGGCCCGGCGAGCAGGGCCCGGCGGACAGCCGGCTCAGGAGCCAGGGCGCAGGGACAGGCAGCAGCGAGGCCCCAAAGCCCGGCGCCCTGAAAGGCCCTGGCCTGCAGTCCAGCTGCAAGGCGGCTCGCGGGGCGCCCCGGGACTCCTGTGCCAGCCAGCGTCCCCGGGCCGGTCCTGCCACGGTGGGAGCCCTGGCCGCCCCGCCCCGCCCGGCGCCCCGCTTCCACAGTCCCGCTGCCGTGATGTTCATCCCCAGGAAACGTGGCTGGGGTCCCATCCTCGCGGGGCCCAGGGCTCCAGAAAGTCTGGGCCCCCAAGGGGCTCGCGGGGCCCTCACACCCGGCAGATGCTGGAGCCCTGCGGGGGCTGGGCAGGCGGGCGGGCAAGGAGCTGTCTGCGTGAAGGGGTTTGCCCTCCCGCCCCGGTCTCTGCGGGAACTGCCCGCGAGGGCGCAGCAGCTCTGGGGCCCGGCCCCTGTGTCCCGGGCCTGCCCTCCCGCCGATGCGACCCGGGGCGGGCTATCGGGGCTGGGCTCTGGGGCACCGCTGCCAGACCAGGCTTCTGTGCCCCAGGGCTCCCCGAGGGGCCCCAGCAGGTCCTCACTATGGCCCTGGCATCCCGAGAAACCGCAGGGACCCTCCCTCCGTCCCCCGAGGCCAAGACTGGGACAAGATGCAAGAAGCCGCCTCCCACCTGGGCTCTGGCCAGACCCCAGATCCAGCGACCGCAGCCCCGCCCCATGTCCGCGGGGGTGCCCGCTCCTGTGGGTCGGACTGAGCCTGGGGGCCCTCACTGCAGCGGGGACCCCTCCCCCTGGGCAGGAGATGCTGGAAGCCAAGTGCCCCCACGGGCTGCAGAGCCCATACCCTGGCGGGCATGGTGCCCACGGGCTTGCTGAGCAGCCTGGCCGGGCCGTGGGAGGACCCGGCAGTCCCTCGGCCCGGCGGAGGCTGTGCTGGGGCGGCCAGGACTCCCCGGGGTCCTTCCACACCCACAGCAAAGCCAGCTTCATCCCGGCAGGCGAGCGAGGTGCCCGGCGGGAAGAGCCCCCGCGTGGGGCCGCCCCTCCCCGCCGCTGACCGCAGGGACCGCATCAGCCGCCTCCCAGCCCCTGGGGGCCGCGGCCTGCTCCCCACACAGGTTGTCCACGTCGCAGGCCGCCTGGGGAGCTCCACCCGCTGGGGCCCCGCAGGGCGCGGACCCTAGGGCTGAGGGAGTGTTGGGCACCCACAGGGCACCCTGGAGCTGCCCTCTGCTCTGGAAGGGGCCCGAGGCTCCCTGCCCCGTGCCCGGAGTCCCCGCAGGCGCCCCGTGTCCTGCCTTTGAAAGCAGCCCCGGGCTGCGACCCCTGAGCGGACCCTGGGCCTCGGGGCTGGGCCTCTGAGTTCCCCCGTGACCCCGGCCGTCTGGGGGCTTCTGGGCCACGGCCCTGGGGGGTCTCTGGCAGCGCCGACCTGCAGAGGGAGGGGCAGGCCGCTGCTGCAGCCCGGCCTGGGGGTGCCTGGGCCGGGAGGGGCACCGGGGACCGGAGGCGGGTGCTGATGGCGGGGCCCCGCGAGGCGGCAGGGCCCGCGGGCAGCGCGGTGAGACGGGGCAGCGGGCACGGGGGCAGACGTGCCTCCTCCTGACCTTTTATTCTGAGAGAACCGCACTTGGGTCGGGCTGAGGGGGGCACGGCGAGGCCTGGGGAGCCCGGGAGGACCTTGCTCACGGGGGGCCAGTGCCGTCCCCCCAGGCCCGCCGTCCTCCTCCGGCTCCCAGGTGAGGGCCGCTGAGGCCGCGGACGTGACCCCTGTACCCCGCTAGCCCGAGCTGCCCCAGCGGTCTCAGAAGGGGGGTCAGGGTGCTCTTCGGGGCGCCTGGACGGGCCTTGTGCCGCTGTGCTCTGGGCGGGCCTGGGGTCTCCCGGGCGGCGGGGGCTCCTGGCGGGAGGAGAGGCTGAAGCCGGGGCGCCTGGAGCCCTGGGGCGGGAAGGGCAGGAGGGCCCTCCCTGGAGCCTCGGGGCGCAGTGACCCCTGCCCCTGCCTGACACCACCTGGCTTTTGGGGTCTGGAACTGGGCGAGGAGACCCATCGGGGTCATCTCTGCGGGGGTCTCAGGGCGCTAACTCAGGCCCCCTCCCGTGGCCCCCACTGTGGCAGGTGAGGCCTGCAGTGCGGCGAGGCCAGGCCGCCTTGGGGGGCAGGTCCCTGATGCCCCCCGTGCCCCCCCCCAGCAAGGGCCTCACGAACCTGCGGCCTGGCGGGCATCTACTTCCTGGCACACGCGTCTGGGGACAGAGTGGCCGTTAGCCTGCGCCGCCTCCCCTCCCCCCGCCGGGGTCTCCCCTGGGGCTGCTGGTGGGCGCGGGGACTCACCGTCGCGGGTGAGGGTGACAATGTTCCGGGGCCCCAGCCCGTGCCTGCGGCACACGGCCGCAAACCTGTCCAGGAAGCCGGCGCTCAGCTCTGGGATCCGCCCTGCGGACACAGGAGCCTCGGCCTCAGGGTGGTTTGGGTGCTGTCGGGGTGTCCGGGGCTCGGCAGTAGGGGGTGTGTAAGGCGGGGGGCAGACCTGCCTGGGCAACCTAGATCACATCACCTCCCCCCAGGATGTACTGGGGAGTGGGGGGGACCTGAGGGGGTCCTGTGGGAGTTCTGGGGGTCCTGTGGGGTCCTGCGGGGGTCCTGTGGGGGTCCTGTGGGGTCCTGCGGGGACCTGTGGGGGAAGCCTGGGCCCGCTGTGACCGCGCTGGGCCCACGGGGTACCGTAGAGGGCCAGCACTTGTGTGGCCGAGCCGTTCCTGACGTTGTGCAGGTGGAAGGTGACGTACAGGTGGTAGTCCGTCTCTGCCACCAGCACCCTGTTATCCCCACCATCTGCGAGAACACCTGGCTCAGAGCCGCCCACGCCTGCGCAGCCGGGAGCCTCCCCTGCACCCCACTCCGGGCGTCCACCCCAGGGCCCCCGCGGCCCCGAGGAGGCTCCGCCGTCGGTCGGCTGCACTCACAGGCCAGCGTGTACACCCCGACCTTGTCCGTCTTCTCGCAGACGATGTCCACTGGCTCGCAGCCCCCCTGCACCCTGCGCAGGGGCGAGGTGTGGGCCAAGCTGGCCTCGCGGCCAGTGTCCTTCCCTCCCGGCCGCCCCATGGGGCAGTGAGCCGGTGTGGGGGCCACAGTCACCCCGTCCCCCCGGGCGACACTCACGAGAAGAAGAACCGGAACTTCAGGCCCCCATTGTCCAGGTTGTGGATGTCCCGGATGTAGACCCGCAGGTCCCCGTCTCTGCCGATCCTCTTCATGTCGTCCGAGGCCATGGAGATCGTGTACCAGGTCCCCGACACCTGTGGGCGGCCAGGGCATGGGGCGCCCTGAGCCTGCTGTAGGACCCCATCCTCCTAGGGCACCCCCATCCTCCCAGCAGCCCTCCTGGCCACCCATACTCCCAGCACCCCTCTTTCTCCCCAGGCTGCCGTGACTGCTGGACAGGAGAGGGGGGCTCCCCAGCAGTGGTGTCCCTGTCACGGGGCGTGGACCCAGGCTCGGGGCGCCGGTTCCCCGCAGCGCGGACCGGGCCAGCCCACCTTGGCCATGTCGTAGTTCCCGCGCACGACGTCCCGGAGCCGGAACTCCTGGGCGGAGGCCGGGCCCAGCCCCGCACCCAGCAGCAGCATCCGCAGCAGCAGCAGCAGCGCCATCCCCCGCGGACACGGCCGCCCCCTGCCCTTTATGGGCCTCTGAGCTGCGCCTTCCGGCCGGCCCCACACACGCCCCCGCGTCCGGAACACAGCCAGGTCCCGCTTCCGCCGCCCTGGCCCCCACGGACATCCTGGTGCCAGTGATGGGCCCCAGCGCCCTCAGTGCCCTGGGCCAGCCCCTGGGTCGCTGCAGGGGTCGCGAGGCTGCAGGCACCCGCCGGTGAGGCTCGTGGTGGGGGGAGTGCCCAGAGGGGCGGAGAAGGGGGCCATCGGGGTCTGGCCCAGGAGCCTTTAGCGCCCCGTAAACCCTCAGGCAGGTGCACCTGGAGCTTCAAGGGCATGACTGAATTGGGAGGGATGGGGCCGAGGGAGGCCCCCAGCACGGGGTGGGGGTGGGTGGAGGCCGCCTGCAGCCACCCACGGGCGTGAGCCCCACTGGGCATTGGCAGCTCCAGGCCTGCGGGAAAGTGGCTTGGCCACGGTGGGTGCAGAGGGCAGAGCCAGTCGCGAACTCCCTGCTGATTCCCCGGGAGGCCCGGCAGGGGCTGGGGCTGAACAGCAGCCCCTGGGGCAGGGCTGGCTGTGGGTAGAGTGGGGGGGTCTCCCCTCACTGCCGAGGGGCTTTCCCCAGCCCAGGTGTCCAGCCAGGTCTGGGCAGGGCAGAGCCCATGGACCAGCTTGCGCCAGGCCCCCCGCTCGGCTCCCTCCTGCTGAGACCCCAGGACTGCGGGGGTGGGAACTGGGGCACGGACAGGCTGCACGGCCGTGGGACTGGGAGATGCGGGGGCCTGGGGGGCACAACCCAAGGTCCCACTCCGCCCCGGGGCCTCCAGCCCAGAGGGGAGCAGCCCCAAGGGCCCAGAGCTGCGGGGGTGAGGGAGTGGGGTGTTCTCCAGCGTCCACTGGACCTCCTCGCAGTTGCTGGTGCTTCAGCCCGTCTGCTTGTGGCCGCCTGTGGCGGCTGCCCAGGAAGCCCATGGGTGCCCCAAAGACGCCGCAACTTCTCGAGAATGGAGAGGGATTTACTTCCCAAGGGCAGGGCTGGTGCGAGGAGGGGGAGCCACGTCCTTGGGCACCGCTGCCCTGTCCCGCCCCCGCCAGCCCGTCTACTCGGTGCCGCAGCCAGCTCTCCGGAGCCGCGGAGGACGCCTGCCCCGCCCGCTGGCCCGAGGCCGCCCGGGCCACCACGAGGGGCCCTGCGGGGCGCCATCCCTGTGACTGTCCCACTGTGACGTCACCGCGGGGCCTGCTGACGTCAGCGAGTCAGCCCGGGGGGCAGCATCTGGCTCTGACTTCACAGGGAGGCCCGTCTGTCCTGGGGGCTCCCCTGTTCCTGGAGCGGCCACGTAGAGGGCCCTGGGGCCGGGGGCAAGGTGGGGAGTCACGCCCCAGTGCGGGGGTGGAGAGACCCTGCTGCGTCCCCCCGTGGCTGGCCACGCCTGAGCCGGAGCCCCAGGGCCTCCACTTCACCTCGAGGGCCAGGAAGTGCGTGGGCTGGACCCCAAGCTGCCCGCGGCCAGTCTGGCAGAAGCACTGGCCGGCACCTCTGTGGACCCACCTCCCCGGTGGTCACTTGGCCCAGCCGGGACGCCAGGAGGGTGGGCACCAGCGTGGACAGCCCAGCGGCTGGGACGCGCCGGTGGCTGCGCGGGGTCTGCCCCACACAGGCTCTGCCCCCGCCCCGGGCGGCGCCCAGCCTCCTGCTCCCTTGCTGCAGGCGGCGCGGGCCGAGTGTCCGCTCACCGGGCGTCGGCTTCCACAAGCCTGGGGGGGCCCTCGGCTGCGAGGAGAGGCGGGGGACACCCTGCCCGCCACAGCCCTGCCCCCGACAGGGCTCTTAACCCGCCGCCCGCTGCTGCTCCCGAGGCCCTCAGGCCCGGCGGCCCGGGCCGCATCTGCCTCCGGGCTCCCAGCCTGCGCGAAGCCGCCTGGGGGTCCCCGGCTGGGGAGGAGGGTGGGGGCGCCCCTCGGCCAGCAGGGCCCAGCGCCCCGGAGGTGCCCCCCTGGAGCCACACTTAACAGCCGCCTGCTTCCTCCCAGGGCCATGAGCAGGAGGAGGACGGCGCTGCTGCTGGCTGCGCTGGCCCTGCTGCTCCTGGGCGCCCAGCGCCGCCTCAGGTACCGGCCGCCGGGCGTCCCGAGGGGCTGGGGCCGCCTGGACGCGGTGCCCGGGGCACAGCACAGCCCCCGCGCTCCGCCGGGGAGGGGCTTCGTGATCCCCCCAAGCCACCCACAGCTGCGAGTCTCCCAGCTGGGGGGTCCCGAGCGCAGGCTGGAGAGATCCGGGGGCTCTCCGCTGCTGCGGGGGTGGGGGCTGCTGCGGGGGTGGGCGCCCGCCTCGCGTTCCTCTGGGGGGCCAGGACCAAGGGGATGCAGGGACAGCGGGGTTGCCCGGCCTAGGCTGTCGACCTGACCCCTCCTGTCAGCGCCCAGCGGAGCCCTGCGGCCCTCAGGCCTGCTCTCTCGTGGGGGGACAGCCCGTAGGCAGGGGCTCCCCTGGCGGCGCCGTCCACAGGGGGCTCGGGCGACCCGGCTCTCCCGTCGCACGCAGGCACCCGGGAGAACTGCGGCTCTCAGACTGGTTCGACCCCAGGTAAGGACGGGCGCCTCTGGGCATGGGCAGCGCGGGGCCCTGGGTGGCGATGTCCCCCCTCAAGACCGGCCGTGGCCCTCGCCGGCCGCCCGGGAGCCGAGGGTCCTCGTGGCCAGGCGCCGGGGGCTTCGTGCCTCTGAACGGTCTGGCCGGGAGCCATGTGGCCGGACCCCGCCCCCTGCGCGCCTCCCCTGCGTTCCGGGCCCAGGCCCGTCCGAGACGCACCCCGGGCGCGGCGCCTGCGTCCCGAGGGGGCCGTCCCTGGCGCCGGCTGTTCCGCCGCGGACGCACTAAGCGCCTTTCGTTCTCGGCCACACCGCTTGTGAAACATCCCGGTTGACCCTGCACCTGGCCGCCCCTGCCCACGGCGACGTGCCCGTGGCTCTGCGCGTGGCCTGTGGCTTCCCTCACGTCTTACGCTTGGGTCCTCCAGTCCGCCGCCCAGCCAGGGCCCGCGCAGCCCTGGGCCGCCCGCTCGCCTGGGGGCTGGCTCTGGCCGCCGTGGCCTGCGGCTGTGGAGGGAGGCTGTCGCGCCGACGGGCCCTCACGACCTGCGCGTCCTGGGCCTATTCACTAGGGCCGCCCCGGGCACCCGCCGCTCTGACATCCGGACGGCCCGGCCTGGGGAGTCCCGGGCCACGACCCCCGGCACTGAGCCATCGGCTTCGGCCCTGAGCAGCCTGGTCCTCCGCGTCCTGCTGCGCGGCCCCCCGGCCGTCCTGGCGCCCCGTCCAGCCGGGGGAGACGCCACGTCGTCCTCGAGGGCTGTTTCCCAGGAGAGCCGCGGGGCCCACTCGGTGCCGCCGACGAGGCGGGCGTGTGGCCCTCGTGCTCGCCTCGCCTGGACGGTGCCGCTTTCCTTCCACGCTTCTCCACAAAACCCTGAGGACGCAGAGCTCTGGGAGTTCATCGAGGGCTGCGCACGTCCGGGACATTCTCGGGAGAATGAGCTGAAGCGTAAGCTTGGCCGGGAAGCCTGGCCCGAGCGAGTGGCCCTGCAGCCCCACAGCCGGAGCCCCAGGGGCGCCACGGACGCTGGAAAGGCGGTGTCAGCGCGCAGAGGAGACAGGTCGGTGTGCGGCTGCCCCCGCCTTGCCTCAGCACGGCGCAGGGGCCACAGCTCCAGCTCCAGCTCCAGCTCCAGCTCCATGCCGGCGGCCGCGCGTGGGGCGGCACAGCCTAGTGAAACCAAATTGGTGTGAGTTGATTTAGATTTTTATAAATTAAAGTGTTCATTGTAACACCCGAGACCCCTCTAAGAAGACAGCACATAGGAACAGAAGCAGCGAGTTAGGATACTATAGAAATGCATAAGTAAATCTTTTAAAAAATACGATAGAAAAAACACAGGGCCTCCCTGGGGGTGCGCGGGGCTGCGCGCAGCGCTGTGAGGCTGTCGGCAGCCGCTGCGGCACGAGTTCCACCCCCATCTGGCCAGGGAGTGACCCCTGGGGTGCGGCAGACCCTCCTGTCTCCCCGCTGCTCCCCTCAGCATGGATCTCAGTGGATCCCCCTGTTCTGCTCCCCGCTCTGTCTCTGGGGCATCGTCTTGCCCCCCGCAGCTCTGGCCTGCTCCCCAGCTCTTGTGTGCAGAAATAAATAAACCTTAAAAAGAAGCTAGACCAAGGGGCCCACCCAGTGGCGCAGCGGTTGAGCGCTGGGTTGCGAAGCTGCCCGCGGCCTCTGCGGTGCCAGTTCGATCCCCGGCTGCTCCCCGGCCACCGGAGGAGGGTCCCACATGGCGCGCAGACCTCTCCTGCCGCCCGCTGCTCCCCTCAGCAGTGTCCTTCGGTCCTTCTGCCTGCTCTGCTCCCCGCTCTGGCTCTGGTGAATTCTCTCACCCTCCCGCGCTTCTGACTGTGCCCAGTGCCTGTATAAATAAATAAATCTTTAAAAAAATAAAATAAAATGAAAAAAGCTAGACCAAGCAGAGGGGAAGCGGCGGAAAGGCAGAGCATACAAATGAGTGGAAAAGCGGAGCCCGTCAGTGACACCGAGGTGGGGCTGTGAAGCGGCGACGTCGTGACAGACCTTGGGCCGACGAGTGAGGCCTGAGAGACGCCACAAGTGCGGGGCGGGGCCCCCAGCAGCCTTCAGATCACAAGGGACTCACATGGGCGAGGACGGCGCGACAGTGAGGTGACCTGCAGGACACGGAGCCGTTCCTGGAAGCTCCTTGAGGGAGTCCGGAGACGGGACATCTGGCCTGCTCTGGGCCGAGGGGCTGAGCCGTCAGCAGTGACGGTCACTGAGGAGCCGGCTCCCCTCCGTGTCCGGGAGGACCGTAAGGGTGGGCACACGGGCCGGCCCCTCCGGGCGACAACGTGCTAGTCTGCCCTCCCCGTGAGGGCCCCGTGGGGTCTGTGGCTCCTTATCAGGGCGAGGGCCGCGCCCCGGCGCCCCTGCAGGTGCTCTGCTGGGCCTCCCCCACCCTGCGCCCCCCTCCAAGGGGACCCCGCCTGCGCTTGCGCCCCTTGTCACTGCAGGCGCAGCCGGGCCCTCCCGTTGGGCCTCACTTTCCTTTCCCTCCGAGCCCGTGGGGGCTGGGCTGTTGGGGGGGACGCCGCCCCTGGACATAACTGCGACGGGGAGGGGCAGGGCCTGCACGTTGGCTGGACCGGGGCGCCCCTGCCGCGGTGGGGTGTCCAGCGCAGGCAGAAACCGGCCGGCACGGACGTGTGACCCCGCGGGCAGGATGGCAAGGGCTCGCGGGCAGGCCTGGCCACCCCGCCCGGCCCCCTGGACAGGGGCACCCGCTTCCCAGGCGTCTCCTCGGTTCAACAGAAGCCGCCCTGACGTGGTGACCATGACGGCCTGGCGGGCGCCCGTCATCTGGGAGGGCACCTTCGACAGAGACGCGCTGCGCAGGCACTACGGCGCCTGCAACCTCACCGTCGGCCTGGCTGTCCTCGCGGCCGGCAGGTAAGGCCCCCCGCGGCGGGGAGCTTCAAGCGCTGGGTCTTTCCCTGGGCTCTGAATTCGTTTGGCGGCGGCAGTGTTGCTGGATGGGGTCCGGCACCCCTTCCCACCCCGGGCCCACCCGTCTCGCGTCCAGTGCCCACGAAGGGCGAGGGCAGCGTGTCCCCCCGGCCCCTTCAGACTCGCCCTGCCCGTGGCGCCCCTGCAGCTCCGTCGGGTGGTTGCGAGCGGCAGGACTTGGAACAGCTGAGCAGCATCCCACGCGAGAGCGGCCGAGCCCCGCCTCCTGGAACTGGCCGCACAGCACGCGGGAGCGGGGTGGCCACCCTGTTCTCTGGGTGGACGCCCGGGACTGGGGTTGGCCCTGCGGTGAACCCACCCCTCAGGTGCTGCCCACCGTGTGTTTGGGGAAGACGTGCAAGCTCCATGGCCTCCCGCCCCTCGGTGCCCTCGGCAGTGCCCCTGGCCATCCGGCCACAGCGGGCTGCTGCTTCTCCCCGCTCAGCTGGGCCCTGGCGCCTGCGCTGCCCTCCCGCCCTCCCCGCGCCCAGCAGTCCCGCCGAGCCTGGGCTCGCCTGCCGGCCGGCTGCCACCCCCTCCACCAGCCAGCAAGGCCAGAGCGAAGCCGGAGCCCAGCCTCACCTGCCCGGCCTGCAGCCGTCCCGGCGGGGATCGAGGAGGCGTCCTCAGGTGCCTGGGGTCACCCCGTGGGCTCTTCGCAGGACGGCGGAGAAGCACCTGGAGCCCTTCCTGACATCCGCCAACAAGCACTTCATGGTGGGCTCCCGGGTGGTCTTCTACGTCCTGGCGGACACCCACAAGGACGCCCCACACGTGGAGCTGCTGCCGCTCGACCCCGCGGCGCCCCGCAGGCTGCAGGTGCTCCCCATCCCCGAGGGCAGCTGGCCGCAGGACCCCGAGGCCGCGGGCATGCACAGCCTGGGGGCGCACATCGGCCCCCGCATCGCGGGCGAGGTGGACTTCCTGTTCTGCATGGCGGCCAGCCAGCGCTTCCAGAATGACGTCGGGGAGGAGGCCCTGGGCGCCGCCGTAGCCCAGCTGCACCCCTGGTGGTACTTCAGGGGTGCCGGCGACTTCCCCTACGAGCGGCGGCCCGCCTCTGCGGCCTGCATCCCCCGGGGCCAGGGGGACTTCTACTACGACGGCGCCCTGGTGGGGGGCACCCCGTGGCGGCTGCTGGGCCTCATCGAGCAGTGCCTGCGGGGCCTGGCGCACGACGCCGCGCTGGGGCTGCGCAGCACCTTCGAGAGCCACCTCAACAGGCACTTCCTCCTGCACAAGCCCAGCAGGCTGCTGTCGCCCGAGTACGGCTGGGACGCCGCGCTCGCCCCGCCCGCGCAGGTGCGCTACGTGAAGGTGGCCCGGCTGTCGCGGCGCGGGCAGTGAGGGCGTCCAGGCGGCCGTCCCGCGCCCCCTAGGTCCACCCAGCGCCCCCCCCGCACGTGGCCACGCCGGCAGGGGTTGGGGTCGGGGCGCTGCCCCTGGGTGTGTCGCAATGGGTGGTTTTCTAATTAAAGACCCTTCCGGGGAAGCGCGTTTGCACGTGGAGCGCGCGGCGGCCCCTCGGCCCGGCCCCCAAGCCTTGCTGTCCCCTGAAGGGGCCGAGACCCCGCGGGAAGGGAAGGGGCGGCCTCCTCTCGCCGCCCGGGAGGCCACGCTGCTGGCGGGTTGGGGCCCAGGTGGCCCCGATGGCCCCGGCTCCCCGCATGGCCCAGGGCTTCCCCCCACGCCCCTGCCCCTCCTCTTCCCCGCCGTCCGCAAACCCAGAGCAGCCTCCAGGCGGAAACATGTCGGCGCAGCGCCGCAGCCGGACCTGAGGCTGAGAGCGAGGCCGGGCGCAGCGAGAACCAGCCCGGCTTCCTGCCCACGGTGGCAGCCGGGCGGGCGGGCGAGGCCAGGGTGGTCTCCAGCCAGGTCACGGCTCCACCGAGCGATCCCTTCCCGGGGGAGCCGAGAGCGCGGGGCAGGCAGCTTCTGCTGCTGAGTTTCCAGCCCCGGAGCCGCCAGGCCGGGCGGACGCCCCGTCCCTCCGGCCACAGATTTTTAAAAAGTTAGTTTTGTGGATTTGATGAGCCAGCCCCGCGTCGCCCGGTCTGGGCAGGGCCCGTGTGGTCGCTGCCCGCTCCGCCCCCGGCGGCCGTGGCCTTCCCGGCACCCCTCCCGGTGCCGCCGCGGGGGCCTGGCTGTGCTGACGCGTGGCTCGGGTCGTCCCGGGGAAGCCTCGGGGGGACGCAGCTGCACGTTTTCGAGGTGCCCCCCCCGCCCCCCGCCGCCCCTCGCATCCCAGCCCCAGGGAGGCGCCCCGTGTCCGAGCCTCGATCTTCCAGAGCCTCCAAAGACGTTTCTCTCATTCCCAGCTCGCGGGGCTGACGGCGAGGTCGTCCGCAGCGTCCGTGTGCGGCAGGCGGCCCGGGGCCGGGTTTCTAAGATCCGGGGGGACCGGAGAGGAGAGTCCTGGAGCCCTCGGTGCCTTCCTCGGGCTTTTATTGAGCTCGCACCTGTAGAGCAGCACCAGGGCGGCCGGCGGGGGCCGAGGCCGGGGCGGGGGCCGGAGGCCGGCGTGTCCAAGCCCCCGGCCAGTCTCCACCCTGGGCTTCTCCGGGCTCCTCTCCCCTTCTCGCTCCCGCCCCTGCGGCTCTCCCACGAGCGTCTCACGCCGAGCGAGGCCCCCACGAGTGGACACCATGGCTTCCGCCGGGTGACGGCTGCGGGCGCCCCTCAGGCAGGGCCGGCCCGGGGCGGCAGAGACGCCTGAGAACCTTTCCCCGCAGTGAGGCCTCAGGCCTCGGTTTCCCATCTGACACCCCCTGGGCAGGGCCCGCCCACCGGCCGCTCAGGACCAGCCGCTACAGGTGGGGGTGAGACCACCCACCCCTCCGTGCCCCCCACCCTCCTCCCACGGCACCCCGCCCCCTGCAGGCCCCGCTTGCTGCAGCCCTGCTGCCCCTCCCTCTTCTCCCTTCCTCTCCCCCCTCCCCTCCCTCCCCGCCCCCCCTCCCCTCCCTCCACCTGGTCTCCAGCTCTGGCTCCTGGCCGCGCCCACCCTGGGCCTCCCTGCCTAGCATCACCCCTGCTTGGCTGGTCAGTCCTGTCCAAGGGCGAGGGCCTTCCCCCGCTCTCCAAGCCTGGGATTTGTGACCCTTCACCCGCCTTTGGCATCTGCGCTGTGGTTTGGGGCACCCCAGCACAGGGACGGGGTGACGCGGAGGCCGAGCCAAGGTCAGCAAATGTTGACACGTGGAGGGGCGGGGACGCCGCTGGGTCGCCAGCCTGCTCTGTCCCCACCCCAGCGCGAGCCCGCAGGGCCCACGGCGGCGTCCAGGCCTGGCCAGGGAGGGCAGGCGGCGGCAGCGTCCACCTCCGCCCCGGGCTGTCCGGCCTGGGGCCTGGCTCCCGCCTCCACCCCTTTCCCTCGGGGTCCGGCGGGATGTGGCCAGCGGGCCACCAGGCCACTGTGCGGGGAGGGGCGGCCAGACATGGGAACGGCAGGTGTGCAGCTTGTGGCCAGCTCTGCGGGCAGCCTGTGCCGGGGCCCCCCGTCACCGGTCAGGGGAGAACGCGCTGGGGTCCAGAACCGCCCCCCGGAAGGTGACAGGGAATGGGAGGGGCGGCCCGTCCCTGGCAGCGCGGCAGCCGAGCGGGGTCCCGAGTGCTCCTGGGGCTCCAGCTGCGTTTCCAGCGGCTCCGACTTGGAGCTTTCCAGGCCCTGGGGTGGGGCCTCGGCGTCCCCAGACCCGGCGCCCCCTCCCAGCAGCCGGCGTGTGCCGGACACGGGTTGCCGGGAGGTGACCTGCGCGCGTGTTGGTGCTGACCAGAGTGAACTTACTGGACGATCGCCCCTCGAGTCTGGGGCCTCTGGAGCTCTCAGCCGCCTTCCCGTCCTCGCTGCCCGCCCCCCCGCCCCCCCAACACCCCGCCCGCCTGCCCCCCGCCCGCCCGGCTTCATCTGCCGCGTCACCCTGCCCCGGAGGGGGAGCAGAGCACGTGGTGCCGATCCCAACCCAGGCCTCACGCCCAGCTGTGACCCCCGAATCGCCCGCACCCCGACGCGGCCAGGAAAGACGAGGAGAGGGTGTCTCTGGGAGTCACTTTATTGCTAACTGGGGGAGGGCTCAGAGCGGAGGGTGCGGGGCGTCCGCGGGGCGTCCAGCACGGCCTCGGTGTCCGTCCTCGGGGCAGCTCTGAGGGGTCCGGCACAGCTCACTAGACCCAGCAGTGCTCTGCGGGGAGGGGGCGGTCAGCCTCGGCCCGAGGGCCCCCGGGGCGCCGCACCCCAGACCCCGGGGCGGGCCGTGGGGGCGCCCGGCTCACCCTGCGCCTGGGCGGGGCTGAAGTACATCCACACGCTCATGGGCAGGCCCTTGAGGCTGCTGAAAAGCTTCTCCATGACCGGCTCCTGCTTGGCGTCGGGCTTCCTGGCTGTGGGGGCGGCCGGTCAGCCCGGGCCTCGGGGCCGTGCACGGAGCCGGGGCGCGGCGGGGCTGGCCGGCAGGGTCCCTGCGCCCCAGGCCGGCCGATTCTGGCAGGGGCAGCCGGGGGGCAGGGCAGGGCCGGGACCGTGCCCGGGGCCCGGGGCGTCCCCAGCCCTAGAGCTCAGAGGCCCCGGCCTGGCCGCCAGCAGGGACGGGCCTCGCCGCAGAGGCTGGCCCCAGCTCCGGCCACACAGGGCTGCGCCCGCCCTCCCGTGCCACCCCCCCGGCCCCTCCCGGCCCCAGGCCCCAGCCCGCCCGGCCCACCGGGCCGACCGCGGCCCCAGGCAGCTGGGGTGCGCACCCAGGTACTGGCAGGCCACATCCTTCTGGGGGCCGCCTTGGTGGCCTCCATGCAGACGACCATGGTCTCGGGGGTGGCGTCCATCACGTAGAGCTTGGTCGCGTCCTGGTCTGCAAGGGCGCCAGGCGAAGTGAGGGCCGGCTCGGCTCCCCCGGGGCGGGGGGTTGGCCGCCCGGCCCCGCTCCCGCCGACCACCCGCCTCCGTCCCGGGCCGGCCCCTCGGCCCGCGGCCCTGGGCCGTGCCACCAGGTCAGGGGCCCTGCCCGCTCCGCGGCAGAGGGCCAGGGTCAGGCGGCTGGTGGGCAGGGCCGGTGCCCCGACCCGGCCGCCCCCTCGTCCCCGGCGAGCCCCCCGCCGCCCCGGGGCCCTCACTGTTGATCTGGAACTCGGCGGCGGCGGCGGTTTTCGTGGCCAGGACCTTCTTCTCCACGCACTTGCCGTTCTCCCTGGAAGCGGGGTCTCCGTGAGCGCGGGGCGGGCTCGGGGCGTCTGGGGAGCCGGGAGCTGCCCCCCAGCCCCCCCTGGGGGCGCGGGCCGCCGGGCCGGGACACCCACCATCTGCTCTGGGTGATCTCCAGGCTGCTCGGGGTGATGGGCCGCAGCTCCTTGACGAACACCCGCAGCGGGGCGTCCTTGGAGTCCAGGAGGGCGATGTCGCTGGCCGCCATGGCCGTGGAGTGCCAGGGGCCCGCCAGCTGCGGAGGGCCGCGCCTGAGCCACGCCGGAGGCCCCGCCCGCGCTCGCACCCCCGGCCCCGGCCAGTGAGCGCGGGGGCCTCCCTGCCGGCGGGCACCGGCCGCGGGGTCCCCATGGGACACAGCCCCCTTCCCCCGGGGGTGCGGGCCCAGCTCCCCTCACCGAGGACCCCCCGGGCTCGGGGACAGAGCGACGGGCCCCGAGGACGGGGAGCGCGGGTCCCTGACGGGGTCTCAGCAGCCCCGCCGGCCCCGCGGCCCCCACGCAGCGCCCACCTTCTGGATGTCCAGGTCCTTCGTGGCCTGGGGCACGGCGGTGGCCTGCACGGCGCACACGAGGGCCAGGGCGAGCAGGAGGCACTTCATGGCTGCGGCGGGTCTCGGGAGCTCCGGAGCTGGGGCCGAGCGGCCGGCCGGGCCTTATATAGGAGGCGGCCGGCGGGGGCCCGAGCCAGGCGCTTCCCCGAATCCGGCGACCCTTCCGGGGCCCTGGGGTGGCTTCCTCCACCGGACAAAAGGGACCTTCTTCCCCCGGGCCAACAGGAAGGACCCTGCGTCCCGGGGCCAGTTCCTGGTAGGCCCGGGGGGCGGCCTGGGGTGGGTCCAGGCCGGCCACGCAGGGAGCACCGGGGGCGGCTGGGGGGGGCCGGGCCAGAGCCAGCACAGGCGCACCTGGCCCCGGGGAGGGGGCGGGGTGCCGGGATCCGGGCTCAGCCTCGTGCGGAGAGGCCCTGCCAGCCCTGGGCCCAGCACAGCCTTTGCAGTCCCCCCGCCATGCCCTTCCTGCTCCTCGCACCCCACTTGCTGCAAAGCCCCTTCCTGGTCTCCTGCAAAGTATGGTGCGAGGACTTGGGGGCTCCCCTCTGGGGTGGTACCCACTGTGAACTGGGGTCAGGATGGTTGGATCAGGCAGAGCCGCAGGGGGCCTGCCTAGGGCCCCTAAGGCCTTTGTAGCTCAGGGGCCCTCATGGGGAGGACGGGGTGAGGCAGGTGGTCCTCCACCCCCGGGAGCCAGCCGGCCTCGGGTCTCAGCAGCTGTGGGGGCTGTGTGGGTGGGGGAGGGGGAGGGGGGAGCTGGAGGGTCTGGGGAAGGGGTGGAGCCATAGGGGAGGGGCACGGGGCCTTGTGCCGTGGGGGCCCCCCATCCCGCAGGGCCGTGGGGCAGGGGCGCTGGGGGCTGGCGGGCACGGCTGTCGTTTGGCCCAAGCGTCCACAGCGCAGAATCTGAAACTGTCCGGGTCTTCATGCCGCCTCTCCTGGCTCCCGCGGGGCTGCAGCGGGAGAACCTGGCACGTGGGGGCCAGCCCATGGGGAGGCAGCCCCAGGCTGGCACCGCTCCCCCCACGCAGAGCGAGGTCCCTCCATGCCCCAGCCGGTGGGGGTGCAAAGCCGGGCCCTCCACGCCACCTGCCGGGTCTGGGGGGCGCTGCTGGCCGGGGCTGGGCAGGGCGGCTTCCCGGCAGCCGAGCCAGGGCCGCTGCAATCCCCCATGCCAGGCCCTCTGGGCCTCACCGGTCGGCAGCGCCAGGTGCCCTCAGGCCTCTGGCTCCTCTCCCCAGGCTCCTTCCTTGCCCAGGTCCCCGAGGCAGCGAGGAGGGGAGGAGCCCGGGGGAGCGGCCCGCACAGAACTGGGGACTCTCAGCCTGGAGGCCGGGGCATTGCGAGGCGCCCCTGGGGGCAAGCCCAGGCGTCACCAGCCAGGGTGGTCAGCAGCCGGGCAGAGGAAGCCACCGGGCAGCCCCGCTGGACTTCAGGACGGGGTGGGCAGAGGGAGGTTGGCCCGGACAACCCCGGCCGTGTCGTGCTCCGGGCAGAGGCGCCACCCGAAGGCCTGCCACAGGGCCCCTGGGATGGCGCGGCCCGCGGCCGGGAAGGCCCTGGCAGGGCGGCTGCCCCCGCGGGGAGCCCCTGGGGCTAAGCCCACCCGCCGGCCCCGCGGCCCGCCTGGCCCTCACCGTGAGGGTCGGGGACGCCTGCGGACGCCGCGGACCCAGCGTTCAGGCGCGCCCGAGTCTCCGGCCGGCCGGGCCCTCGCGTTCCAGGGACGGAGAGGCCACCGGGCAGCGCGCTCGGGCTTATTGGGGAGACCCTGGCTGCAGGAGGGGTCCACGGCCTCGGGGTGGGGGTGGTCCGCGTTCTGGCGCGTCTCCGCCAGCCTCCTCGGCCTCGCTGCCCTCTCTGCCACCGGACGTGTGCGCCACCAGCTGCCGGAGCCTCGTGCCCCGTGGCCAGCGCCGCCGCCCGCCGGCTTCCCGCTCCCACGCAGCCTCGGCTGCCCCCCTAGAGCCGCCTCAGCCAGGCCGCCCCCCCCCCCCCCCCCCCCCCGCAGCCACGTCTGTCCTCCCCGGGGCACGGCCGCCAGCCCCTGGCCCCGGGCCGTCAGGGGCAGGGCCCACCCCACGCCAGGCACCCCCCGGCCTCCTGCGGCCCGGGCAGCTCCTCCGCAGCCTGGACCTGGGCAGGGGGAGAGGCCGGGGGTGGGGCCCGCCCTGGAGGGCAGACGTCCGCGAGCTCCAGGCCTCCAGGAGCGTCTGCGTGGAGGCGCCCAGGGGCGCCCTGGCGGGGTCGGCCAGAGGGCTCTGCCTGCGAGGAAGCCGCGGGGCTCCCCTGGGGTCGGAGGCCACGCACCCCGTGCCCAGCGGCCTGGGCTGGCCGCACCCCGGGCCCCGGCCCTTCGCTGGGCGCCCACCCGGGACGCCGCCGTGGGGGCAGGAGCACAGCCCCCCACCCGCGTGGGCCTGGCCCTCCCGAGGAGGCCCGGCCGGGACGCCGCCTCCCTGGGCAGTGGTCAGCGCTCACCGGACCCTTTGGCCCGCTGCGGGCGCTGCGTGTGCCCGGCGCCTCGGGTGCCGCCTGCAGGTCCCCACGCTCGCCTCCCCTCACCCCACACCCCCCCACACACACACCACACACCACACACCCCACACAACACACCCCCCCACACACCCCCCCAAACCCCCCCCTCCACACACACCACACACACACCACCACACACACCACACACACCACACACACCACACACACCCCACACACACCACACACACACACACACCACACACACACACACCACACACACCACACACACCACACACACACCCACACACCACACACACACCCACACACCCACACACACCACACACACCACACACATCCCCATTCACACACACCACACGCCCCCACACACACACCCCACACACACACCACACACATCCCCATTCACACACACCACACACACACACACCACACACACACACCACACGCCCCCCCACACACATCCCCATTCACACACACCCCACACACACCCCCACACACCCCCCACACACACACCCCACACACACCCCACACACCCCCACACACACCACACACCACACACCCCACACATACACCACACCACACACCCCACACACCCCCCACCACCCCCCCACACACCCCCACACACACCACACACACACCCCCCACACACACCCCACACACACCCCCCACACACACACCCCACACACCCCACACACACACCACACACACACCACACACCCCACACCACGCACCCCACACACCCCCACACACACACCCCACACATACCACACACACCCCCATTCACACACACCCCACACACACACCACACACCCCACACACACACCACACACCACACACCCCACATACACACCACACACACACCACACACACCCCCCACACACACACCCACACACCACACACCCCACACACACTCCCCACACACACACCCCACACACACACCACACCACACACACCCCCACACCACACACACACCACCACCACACCCCACACCCCACACACACACACACCACACCCCACACACCACACCCCACACCACACACACACCTCACCACACACACACCACACCCCACACACCCCACACACGACACACCCACACACCCCACACACCCCACACACCACACCACACACACCCCCACACACCACACACACCCCACACCCACACACCCACACACCACACACATACTCCACACCACACACACCCCCACACCACACACACACCACACACCACACCCCACACACACACACACCACACCCCACACACCACACCCCACACCACACACACACCTCACACACCACACACACCACACCCCACACACGACACACCCCACACACCCCACACACCCCACACACCACACACACCACACACACACACACACACCCCACACACCACACACACACCCCACACCCCACACACCCACACACCACACACATACTCCACACCACACACACCCTACACCACACCACACACACACCATACACACCACACACACCCCCCACACACATACCACACACACACACTCCACACACACCACACCCCCACTCGGGGGTGCAGGCCCGGGGTCAGGGGAGGGCAGCCCTGCGATGACAGAGCGCTGGAGGCACCAAAAGTGCCAGCGCTTACTCCGGGGGCGGGCTCCTCGGCGGTGTGGGCCTGCGTCGGGCGACCCCACCCCCCTCCCCCACCCTCCCCACCCCTCCCTCCACCCCCTCCCCCCACCCCACCCCTCCCCCCTCCCCCACCGCCCATCTGCCCGTTGACTGACGTCCTCGCGTTGCCCGCCCGCCCGGAGGCTCCAAAGGGGCCTGTGAGCGCCGCTTACGGTGGGGCTCCTTGCGGACCCCACGTCCTTCCCCGGGGTGTTCCCCCCCAGGGCAATAACACGGGGGAGCGAGGCGGGCCCCTTTGAGGCGCCCCTTCGGCCTCCGTCCAGGCCCCTCCTCGGGCTGGGGGGCCGCGACCCGCCAGCCCCGGGATCCAGCGGGGCGCCTGCGGGGTGCCAGGAGCCTCGGCTTCGGGGCGGGCGCCTCGCACCCGGCGCGCCCGCTCCGCCGCCGCCTGAGGAGCAAAGGCGCGTGGCCGGGTCGCGGGGCGGACGCGGCCGTCGGGCAGGTCTCCGCGCCCAGCGCTCAGCCGCCCGCGTCTGTCGCGGAGCCCCGCGGGCCCCGCGTCCCTCAGCCCCGCGTCCCTCAGCCCCGCGTCCCTCAGACCCGCGTCCCTCAGACCCGCGTCCGGGCGGGGCGCGATCCTCCGCGGCAGCCGCCGGCCCCTCGGAGCGTGTGCGTGTTTTGCTGGGCCCCGTGGACGGCGGCGAAGGGGGGGCGCCGCCCTCATAGCGCCAGCCCGCCCGCCCGGCCCCCGTGCCAAGGCGGGCACTTGGGGGGTCCCGAGGTCGCAGGAATGAGGTCCCCGCACAGCCCCGAGCGTCCTGGCGCCGGCTCTGTCGAGGCAGGAGCCCTGTCTCTTGCCAGCGCGCGGACCAGCATCGCCCGCCTGCTGGGGACACCCGCTGGATGCCGGGCTTCAGGGGTGCTTGTGGGTGATGGGGTGCGCCTGGGGAGGGGCAGAGAGGGGCTTGGGGGAAGATTGGGCAACTCCCAGGAGCCCAGACCCCCGGAGCTGACCCTGCGTCACACCAGCGTCCTGCTCCCCGGGGCCGGGCCCAGGTCTGAGGTGCCTGGCGGGTGCCACCTGCTGCCAGAGAGTCGTGCGTCTCCCAGCTGGGCAGGCCCGGGCGCCCACCCCCGCGGCCTCTCCCCGGGGGCGATGCTGCTGTTATGGGCGAGGGAAACAAGGCTCGGGAGCCTGGAGGACGGGTCCTGGGTCCCGTGGCTGGTGACGCCCCGGGGCCGAGAGGGGAAGCTCATCCCCGCGGGGGTAACCAGCTGCGCGACTCTGGCCCCGTTAGCCAGGGTCTGGCTGTCGCTAGGGCTGGACACGCAAAGCCCCGAGTCGTGAGCCGTCTGTGTCCCGGGGCCAGGGCCGAGGTCACATCCCGCCCGTGCGACACGCGGTCCTCTTGTCTCGTTCCGGGGACACACGGCCGCCGGACGCGAGCTCCTGCCTCCTCGCCACTCCCCTCCCTGCGCGCGTGGGCGCGGGGTAAGGGCAGGCAGGGCCCTGTCTGGGGTCCCCGCCTTTGTGCTGGCTGCTTCCTGGGCACGCGCTCAGCCTCAGCCACACCCACGGGGTCAGACAGGCCTTGTCTCCCACTGTGCTGACGGGGCACCTGAGGCCCGAGGAGGTTGTAGGACATACTTGGTGCCACCCGGCACAGACAAAAGGCTCTGACTGGCATGTTTCAGTGTCCCGGGGGGCTTGCTAAGGACCCCAGCCCCCCCCAGCTGTGGGTGGGCCCAGCCGCCTGTGCTCCCGCAGAAGAGGCCGACCTGTCCTCCCGTCCTGTGCTCCCGTCCTGTGCTCCTGTCCTGTCCTCCTGTGCTCCCGTCCTGTCCTCCCGTCCTGTGCTCCCGTCCTGTGCTCCTGTCCTGTCCTCCTGTCCTCCCATCCTGTCCTCCCGTCCTGTGCTCCCGCCTCTCCGCAGTGCCGGGGATGGGGGAGGGGAGCCAGGTGTGAGCCGAGGCCGGTGCCTTTCAGGGCTCGCCGTGGGCCGGGACGCGGCTCCTCACCGACACGTAGAGCGCGCACTCACCAGGGTACGCGGCCGGGGGGCCGGCTGCCTGTCCTTTGGGTCCCCCTGGGGTCACCGCAGGTTCTGAAGCGGGTCACCCGCCAGCCCCTGTGCCGGCCGCGCGCTGGAGGAGCCTGAGGGTCACGGACTCGCGACTGTCAGCGTTTTTGCCTTCGGACCCTTGCGGAGGCCGCACAGCGCCCCCGTGGGTGGGGCCGGCCCCGGTCATGGTGCGGACCGGCTCCCCGAGGCGCAGACGAGGGGTCGCTTGCTGAGGGGCAGGGCTGGGATTTGATCCTGGATCTGTCCAGCAGCAGAGCCTGGTCAGGACATTATTCTCTCCCGAGACTGGGTGGGGACGGCAGCCCGGGGTCAGGGAGCTGCCCCGGCCGGGCCCTGGAGCCTGCCCCGCGCGCGCGGGAGCCTCTGCCGAGGCCCGTGTTCTGAGAGGCACAGGTGCAAGGCCAGGCGGCTTCCACTCGGAGCCCAGCTTCTGCCGTCGGGCCCTGGGTGGCTTCCTCACCACGTCTGCGCCTACGTTCCTGCCTTCAAACGGGCGTGGCGAGGGGCCTCCTCCGGAGGGTCACTGGAGAATAAATTTGCGGCCCCGCGTGAGACACGAGCACAGTCGCCGGCAGGCGGTCAAGGCCCAGCGTGGCTGTCCTCGGCTCGCTGTCGTCGCTGTCCCGGCTAGGGCAGAGCAGTTAGTGGCCCCGCGGGTGCGTTTGGCGGACGGGCAGCGTACCAGGAGGGCCCGGCACGGGGGGGCTCGTGGCGCTGGAGGCAGAGGGGGCCGGGGGTGGCCGTCAGCACTGCGGCCGGCTGCCGGGGGTTATTCCTGGGACGGTCTAGGGCCCTTCCCCAGGGGCGGCGGGACAGGGCTGAGCCCTGAGCTCCCCGGGAGAGACCCTACAGCCCTCACCCCGGCAGCAGCATAGCACCTCACGGGTGTGAGGCTTGGGGGGCCCTGACCACCTCTCCCCCTGTCCTGGCAGGACTACACGGTGCGCGGCCTCCTGGCAAAGCCACTGATGCCTTCTGTGAGGACGGCGGCTGCTGGAGGAGCCGGCCTTCGGTGCGCGTGCGTGGGCCGGGCCCGGCGCCGTCCCGTGATGCTTTGCCCCTTGGCCACGCTCCGCCACGCCGCGCTCAGGCTGGCCACGGGGGCTGTCCTCCAGGAACACTCTGGGCTCCCCCAGTGCCTTCTCACGTGGCTAACATGTCTCTGCCCCGGGAAAGCTTTTCCACCCCCTACTTGGACTGACGGGCTCTCAGAAAGCAATGAACGAGCGATGATGTAAACGGGTCCCCCGGCCCGTCACCCCCGAGGGCAGCACTGCGCGGCTCCACTCCTGTGGTCACACGGCACAGGGTCCTGGAGGTGGAGGTGCTTGTGGGCATGGATGGGTGGGGGGCAGATGGGAGATGGGCCGTTGGGGGGTGGGGGTGGATAGCGGGATGCAGGGGGGATGGAGTGAATGGGCGGGCGGGTGGCGGGGCAGGGGAGGGATGGATGGGGGAGATGGATGGGGGTGAGTGGCGAGAGGATGCGCAGGTGATGGATGGTGGGCTTCCCCCATGTTCTGTGGGACCCCGTAGGATCTACCGCATTTACTTGGTTGACACTTGTTTTTTGAGTACCGGCCAAGTGCCAGGCCCTGGGGACGGCACACAGCGAGTCAGGTGGGGTGTCGGTGAGCTCACAGCTGAGTGGTACCCGGCGCGGGCGTGTAAGCGCCACGGCCTCTGCAAGCGTGCTTCTGTCGATGGGCACTTGCGTTGTCTTCATGCCTTGGCCTTTGTGAGTGGACGTGAGGGGACCTGTGTCTTCTGAGCTTAGTGTCCTCATATTCCAGAAGAGGCTCTTGGCCTGGAGTCTGTGCCCCTTGAAAATGTCCTCAGGATGTTGAGTTTCTGGGTATCGTGTGAGAAGAGACGCCAGTGTCTTAACAGTAGTCGACCCCATGACGGGAAGCCTAGGGCCTGGGGGTGCTCTGCAGCCCCTTCCAGGTGCCCAGGATGAGGCTGGCTCGGGGGAAGGGAGTTTGTCAGGTTGTCACTCATCCTCAGCGGGCACCCCTGTGCCTCCCCTCCCCTGCTCTCCAGAGAGACGCTGCATCGAATCCTGGCCCTGATCCAAGGCTCCCATCAGGAGGCCGTGGTGATGTAAGTGGGGCCTGACCTACGCCTCCCGAAAGGGGCCCTCGAGTTGGTGCCAGAAGCGGAAGAAGTGCCCGCAGGCTCCTGTGGCTCTGCCCACCTGGATAATTCCACGGGTCCTCGGAGCTGGGGACCAGACTTGAGCCAGGCGCCCCTGCCACAGCCTGCAGAGGAGTTTCTGTATGTGGGTCTTAGGCCAGCGCCTGGGGAGGCCGAGGGGAACCAGAGACCCCGGCTGCCCTAAGGGGCCTGGGAGCCAGCGGGGGCTCTGAGCCAGGGTCTGGCACCTCAGAGCACACCGAGCCGGGAGTAGTCAGCACGTGTGGGACTGTTGAAAGCAGGAAAGGGCAGAGGAGGGCAGAGCCTGCCTTCGGGGCAGGCGGGCGCAGGGGAGAAGGCTGCTGCAGTGGGGGCTGGAGGGGCAGGAAGATGGAACGCGAATGATGAGCTTTAGGAGTAGGGGCAGGGCCAGGGCGGGCAGTCAGCCGAGCTCCCCGCCTGCACCAGCCTCGCACCTCACCCCTCCCGATCCCCAGGTTCTCCAGCCTCGACTTGCAGACCCAGGAGGCCTGGGAGATGGCCGTGAGGGGCCTGATCCGGCCCATGAGCCCGTCCCCGATGCTGGTCACCGGCATCCGCTGCCTCCACTTTGCGCCTCCAGAATTCCTGGGGGAAGGAGGGACTGTGCGGTGGGTCCCAGGGTTTGGGGAGTTGCAGCGCAAAGCCCAGGCAGAGGCTGGCACCTGTCAGTGCTGTGCTGTCCGCCACAGCCCTGCGGCCTCTGCCTTCCCAGCCCGGGACCAGCCCGGCTGCCAGGAGCCCACTGAGCAGATGTCACGCCTGCCGCCAGGTCGCCCGTCGAAGCCGGACCCCGACGAGGTTATACGTGGCGGCTCGCTTCCAGGCCTGCCCCGTTTCCAGCTGTCATGGCCCTCGGGCACCAACCACTCGCGCTCCTGGTCCTGCCCGGTGCAGCCCCCGCTAGCTCTGTCCTTTTGTCTGCCCCCCACACTGCATTCGTCCCCGCTGGTTCTCTGCAAGGGCGAGGGCTCCTCTTCTGGAGCCTTCCGACGCCGAGCACCTGGCGCAGATCCTTTGTAACCGCTCACGAGCGCCCAATTCACAGATGAGTAAGCCGAGTCTTAGAACTGGGCTTCCCAATTTTTAACTCGCCCACAAAGCAGGTTCTGACTCAGCAGGTCTGGTGGCACCGAGCCGGCATGTCTGACCAGCTTTCGGGGGGTGCCCGCGGGCTGGCCTTGGGCTGCACTTTGATCAGCAAGCCCTGAGCACGCAGGCTCCTTGCTATGGCTCTTTCGGCCCAGCCATGTCGGCGAAATGGGGACAGCCTCTAGCCCCCCGGGCCCATGGTGGGCGCCCAGCGCCGTCTGTGCTGCGTCCACAGAGGTGCAGCGCGTGCACGAGACGCAGAAGCAGCTGCGGAGGCTGGAGCATGAGGTTGGCCTGGAGCTGAAGAGCAGCGCCGTGTGCACCCAGGGGCGGTGCACACGCGATGGCTTCTTCACGCCGGACGACGCCTTGCAGAGGACGCAGCGGGACGGGCACGGCATCCAGGATGTCATCCGGGCTGCAGCCCCCCGGGTGGCAGCAGGGCTGGAGAAGAGCTTGAAGCCGGGGCTGGCTGCCCAGCGGCTCCCCAGGCCAGGCCAGCCCCGGGGCTCTGAGAGGACCAGCTCAGCCCCGGGCGGGACAGCTCTCCCAGGCCAGGCCGGGCCGGGTGACTGTGCAGGACAGCAGGGGAAGCGTTCCTGCTCGGGGCGTAAAACTAAAGCAGAAAGACTGACGGCTTGACCCAATCGAAAAGGAAGACCTTCCGGGTGGAAGAAAGGACGCTCAACAAGGGACAGACTGATAAAAGCACCCGCAGCGTCTCAGGCCCCTCAGGCAGGCCCAGCTCGTGAGACCGCAGGGGCAGCTGACAAAGTCAGGCAGAGGACCCGGATCGCGGGTACCATCGTGTGTATTTCACACGTCACATGGCCGGGAGACCAGGAGTGTCCATGCTCAGCCCCTCCAGTAACCAGGCATCCGGGTGAAGTGCCTCTGCCTCTCAGCACAGGGGTTGGCACGTCCGGGGGCGGATGAGCCTCACCCTTCGTGATGTTGGCATCTCCCCGGCCAGGTTGGCTTGCTGCTGCATTTATGTGACAACATAGGTCAGTTTCTCCTCCTCTGTCCACCAGGTGAGGGTGCCCCTTCCTCCAGGCCCCATGGGGGTGACCAGAGATCCAGGGCTCCCTTGAGAAAGGTGCTGACCTCTTCTCCCCTTGGGCACCGGGCATCAGTGCGTTGGGCAATTTGCCGCTAGGATGGGGCAGCTTTTCCTTGTGCCTGGGTTCCTGCCAGTGTATTCAGCATTCACTCGACAAACATTTATTTAGTGCCAGCTATTTGCCAGATCCCGTTGTAAGCGCTCGTCATACCTCAGTCAGAGGACTGTGCACCCGCCCGCGGGGGCGCCAGCTTGCAGAGGGCATTCTGAGGAGGATGGCGTGAGTGGGAGGCGGGCCTCCAGCCAGGAGGTTGTCTGGAGGAAGAAGCCTTCAAGGTCAAGGGAAGAGCCGGCTCCGCTCAAAGGGCGGCTGACTTCCCGGGGAGGGGCCAGTGTTCCGCGTCGCTGGCTGGCCCGCGCCCGTCCGGGAGGCGCCCCTGAGGGCTTTTCTACCTGAGGCGCCCCCCGTTCTCGGGAAGCCGGACCGCGGGCCCGGGCAGCGGCTGTCTTTCCTCCTCTGTACTGCTTTTTCTCGCTGACTTGCCCCGGCGAGGCCGTCTGGCGAACCAGGCCCCTTGGGAAAACCACGCCGCTTCCCTCTTCTTGTCCAGTTCGGGTGCCTTGTCTCTGACTCGGAAGCCAGCGGGGCGGGACCCTGGGCAGGTCTGAACCCCGCTTCTACCACGTGTGAGCTTCTCCCCCTGGGCAGGCGAAGGTCAGCACGACGGCGCGTTCCTTCGGAGGGGCTGCTTGTCTCGGGCTCGGGCGCGCCGACCTCCGTGGAGGTGGGGATTGGCTGCTGCGCTGTTGCCCTGAGAGACCGCGCGAAGCCACCCCTGTCGGTTGTTCCCAGGGCCGGCCTCGGCGGTCGGCCTCCAGGCGGCCGACGGAAGAGGACGGTGGCGCAGCGGCCGTTTACTGAAGGCTTCTGCCGGGCCTCCCGTTCACCATCCCCGCTGCCTCGGCTGTCAGCGCTGTGCAGGTGTCATGCCAGCCCCCTGCTCCTCGAGGGGTAGGTTCCCGACCCCCCTGATCCTGACCTGCCGGGAGCATGAGCACGCTTGCTGCTTTTCTCTTGTGCGCACGTGCCCACGACAGAGTGGAGTTTGTACCTTAGAGGCGGGGAGAGAGTCACGCCTGCTGATGCAATAGAACAAATGGGAAAATACGCTGTCAGGAGAGCTACGTGCAAGTGTCTGTCTCCCAAATACCTCACTGTGCGCCATATTTTCAGACCGCAGTTAACATGGAAGCAGAAGCCTCAGAAAGCGAAACTGTGGCTAAGCGGGGCGGGGTTGGGGGGGGTGGCCGTACCTCCCCCGTGCGGGTGAGGAAAGCCGCCCGGGAGAGACACCCCGCCTCCCAGCGAGCACACGCATTGCAGGAGGACCCTCCCCTCTGCTTTCCCGGCGGGCGGCGGCTCCAGAAGTCCCTTTGAACTCAGGCCTCCCGCATCTCTGCCCTGGGCACAACACAGACCTCAGGACCCGCTGCCGGTCGGGCCGAGCCCACACCGCCCACCTGTGCTTCCTCGAGCGCGGCCACTGCCCAGGGCAGCCACCTCGTCTTGTTTAGCAGCGCTCAGCCTCTGCCTGTCACCCCCTCACACCACCCCTCCCTCACACCTAAATTCCCAGGGAATTTCATCCCCATTTCACAGATGGGGAAACTGAGGCACTATTTGCCTGGGCTTTGCAGCCAGTCGAAGGTAGACTCAAGATTCGAACTCGGTAGTCTGGCTTCGAACACCTGCTCTTACTCTCTCTGCCCATGACCTCTCTACCTGGACACTGACCTGAACTCTGCCCAACCCAGCTCCGCCCTGGGTGTGTCCCCAGCCAGACCTGCCGAGACCTTGCTGGCGGGGGAGATGATGGTAGGCCAGCCCCGTCTTAGCTGGGCCTCCGGGAAGCGCACACCCAGGAGCCCTCCCCTATCACAGGCGCTTCTGGGACACGGCGACTTTCAGAGAAAGGCGACAGCGAAGCCAGGTTCCTTGCAGGCCTCCCAGGTCTCTTTGCCATTGCCACATCTCTGCATGCGGGACGTTCAGAACAGTCAGCAACACTAGAACCCCCGGATCCAGACCAGAGATGAGGAAGCCTGGGTGGGGGCAGAGGATGTTTGCAAATCTCAGTGCCTTGGAAAAATGAGGTAACCGGAACTCAGGGTACACAGGCTGGCACACCATCCCACCTGGGTCCTAATGGCAAAGAGATGATGAAAGAGGGCTCAGTGTGGCTGGTCATGATCTCCTGATTGCCCTAGGGGGACGGGGGGGTGGTGGTGAGGGGGACCCTGAGTCATAGCCAAAATATTTAGTCAACACGCAGCCTCTCTGCTGAGAAAACCACCCTAAATCCCTTGGGATCAAACTTAGTAGGTATTTTAACCCCCAAAGAACTAATGATTGTTAAGTTATACCCAATGTATGATAAGCCACGTGAGATTTATAGTTTGAATTGAGCTTTAAAATTTAAATTCAGCTATTAAGTTAATCATTTTAAGACATATTTCTAGGGCCTTACCTGGCAGCGCAAGGGGTTAAGTCTCAGCACTAGGAAGCTATTAGCAGCCACTGCAACATGAGTTTGATCCCCGACCAGGCAGCTACCCCCCGGGCGCGGCAGACCTCTCCTGTCTCCCCCTCCCCGCTGCTCCCCTCGGTAGTGTGTGTCAGCAGATCCGCCTGTTCTGCTCCCCACTCTGTGTCTGGTGAGTCCTCTCACCCCGCTGCACCTCTGGCCTACCCTCCAGCTCTTGTGTGCATAAATAAATGAATCTTAAAAAAACAAGCCGGAAACTATACCCGCTACCTATAAACATTTAATTTCCTCGACATCTTTCCCTCGGAGCCCCTTAGCACGAGGCGTGGGGCACAGGCAGAGATGGGCTGGATAGGAGGACTGATGCTAGTGACCCCAAAGAGGTTCTTGTCTGGATGAGGCTGGATCGGGGTGCTGCTGGGGCGGCAGAGGGTGACTCAGAGAGACAAGCAGCAAGTGGGTGGTGGGTGTGATTGCTGGGGACACGGCTGTCCTGGGCCTTCTAGCCCCCCTGTGGTCTGCAGAGCAGCCTCCCCTCAAGGTCGCCCCCAGCCCAGCACTCTTCTCTGTGTGGTTCCCCACCCCAATCCCTCTAGGTACTTCCTCAGCCCCTCGTAAGGCAGAAGGAAAGAGGACAGAACAGGCTGTGTTCTTCCCTGGTAAACCAGCCCGGCGGGTCTGCGGTGCCAGGGTAGAGGGTGGAGCAGCAGGTTAACTCTGCCAAGGAACAGCTAACAAATGCCAGAGCTCTAGGGAGAAGCCAACTTCAATCCCACCTGGGTCTGATTTCGAGCAGGTGCTTTGGGCCCTGTGGCCCCGCAGGGGGAGTGGGGGTGCTTGGGGCCAGGATTTGGTGGCACCATGGTTAGAACAACCCCGTCAGCCCCCAAGAACTCTCATCTGAGAGGCCAGCCACCGAGCACACCTGGCAGCTTGTTAAGAAATGCTGGCCTGCCCCACGCCTGCCGAACAGAATCCCAAGGGATGGGATGGGGCCCCAGATCTTTATTTTCAAAGTCACTGTAATACCTGGTCATTTGGAAATCCTGTCCTGTCTTGTTTTTTTTTTTTTTTAAGAATTATTTATTTTTGCATACAAGAGCTGGGGTGTAGGCCAGTGGTGTGTGTGTGGGGGGGGGGGGATTCACCAGAGACAGAGCGGGGAACAGAACAGGCGGATCTACTGAAACACACTGCTGAGGGGAGCCGCGGGGAGACAGGAGGGGTCTGCCGCGCCATGTGGGTAGCTCCCTGGCCGGGGCTCGAACTCGTGCTGCAGAGGCTGCGGACAGCTTCATCGTGCTGAGACTTAACCTCGACGCGCCCCCAGGGAGGCCCCTGACCTGGTTTTTAAAGAGCACATCTTTGAAGCCTTCAACTTCTCAATCTGCTGCTGAACTGGGTTTCCTTGGGGGAGTAGCTGACCCTCACTGAGCTTCCTTTGCTTCCTCTGGAAAGTGGAGGTAACTACAGACCTCTCAGGGCTGCCATCAGGAATACCGAGAAAGCCATGCCACTGACCGGCGCCCGCCACCCTCCCCTGTGTCCGTCCAGGCGCACGGCACGGCCGCGCAGGCCCCGTCACGGGCCCAGAGACACGCGCTGAAACCCGCACGCGAGTCGAATCCCTGCGAAGTGTGCTGCTGCCCACCACAGGGGCCCCGGCCGACGGGCGGGAATGTCCTCGGGGGTCGGCGGTGAAGCGGGCCGGGTCCAGGTGGCCCGTGGCGAATCTCCCAGGAGGAAGTCGAGCGTATATCGGGCTGGATAGCGCAAGAACGAATTCAGCATTTCAGCTTGAATGAAACGTTTCCGTACTACATTAGCAGCCGTACCTGCGTATCAGAAGCGCAGCCCGAGCTGGACGAAGTCCAAACTCAGGCCTGCAGCCGCCGAGCAGCCGCTCGAACCCCGTCAGCGGGAGGAAGACACCGCCGATGCGGCAGCCAAACGGGGGAGAGAGCGCAGCAAAGGGCAGAGACCTGCAAACCCCAAACCCGCTCGGTCTTTGGAAACATCCACAGGCCAGGCCA